GCTTTGGAAAATAGCTTGACTCCCTCTTCTTTATGGCAGCCCCTGAGATATTGGAACACTGCTATCATGTCCCCCCTCGTCCTTCTCTTCATTAAACTAGACATACCCAATTCCAGCAGCCGTTCCTTATATGCTTTAGCCTCCAGTCCCCTAATCATCTTTGTTGCTCTTCTCTGTACTCTTTCTAGAGTCTCAACATATTTTTTATATCATGGTGACCAAAACTGGATGCAGTATTCCAAGTGTGGCCCTTACCAAGGCATTGTAAAGTGGTATTAACACTTCACGTGATCTTGATTCTATCCCTCTGTTAATGCAGCCCAGCATTGTGTTGGGTGTTCTGTTTGATTCTACTTGGGACCCACAACTTACTACTTTCTACTTAGGAAGTGAAAGAGAAACATTGATATAGAAATAAACATCTCAGATACATGAGTTTCATTTTTACTTTGCAATAGGTCGAACTATTTTTAAATAAAGCTTCCTGTGAAAATAGCTAAATATTGCTGGCTGATTTGATAGTTTTGGAACTGATCTGTTGGCCTGTGTCGTCTTCTCCCTATCTGGTCATCAATGTTAGGCTTGTTAAACTACAGCTTTTGTCACCCATGAGATTTATGAGAGTTGTGACACTCACATTTTGCAGCTGTGGCTTGGGGAATGCTAGCCAAAAGGAAAGAGTGCCATTCCTGGGCAACAGATCTTGCTTAAAGAGCATACTCTACTTGGTAATGCTAAATTGCTAACTTAAAATGGATGCATTATAGTCTGTTTAATAAAGATTATAATATTTGCGTAATTTCATTTAGGTAGATTTAAGTATTGGAGATGTAATAGTTCTTAATATTTAAGAACTAGTTTGGTAGAGGTAAAAGTGATGCCTATTATGTCCTGTTAGAATAGAGTTACGAGTGATAGAGAACTGTAAGAATTTGATCTTTGAATTATTTGAAATTCTAATCTAAAAAATTTCATTTATAAAGTTTTTTTAGGAGGATCTCAGGTTTTTAATTTAGAACAAGATGTTTAGAACAATCCAGGAAACAGATTGAATTATTTTTTTCCCACATAGTGAATAAACTATGAAATTAATTATAATTTTTAAAATTCCTTTTATATTAAAAATTTGAATAACCTTAAAAACTAGGTTTATCTCAGTTATTTACAATACACCAATTTTATCAAAATTATTAACAATTATAGTATAATTAAAATAACTATAAGAGTGAAATAATCTGAGAAATGCGTGGTTCAGAAATATTAAATATAAATAAAGATAAAAGCAGTCTAATTAAAATGCTTCTAAGAACTACAAACTAATATATCAATTGATTAAGATTACTGAAAAAAATACAGTAATCCTCACAGACTGTCTCGTTTAGTGACCATTCAAAATTATGATGGTATAAAAATAGCTTTGTGATCACTCTTCACATTTATAACCGTCGCAGCATCCTGCAGTCACTTGCATGCTTCCCAATTGACTTGCAACAAGCACAGTTAAGGCAGAACCTGGAAGTAAAACTGTAAGTTGTGGGTCACAAATTATTTCACGTAATGACTGAATGGAAAGTGATGTTGTAAGCCTGTCAGGGTCAAGTGATTTTCTGGTTAGTGACCGAGTTGCCAATCCTAATTTTAGTTGCTAAGCAAGGAGTACCTGTAGAAAGATCTGAACTCGGAAGAGCAACATAGTTCACTAATAGCAGGGTCTCTTGAGAAGGGCAGAACTGGCAAGATGGCGGATAGAACATTGCAATACAAGCCCCACCCTGTTTGAAGGCAGATACAATACACATGCAAAGGGGAAAGGAGAAGCTTGCATTGTAATACCCTATTCTTCTTTTCCCTAACGTTGATACAAACCATACATCCCAGTACTGCCATTGCTTAGAGAGAAGGCATTCCAATATGGAGGGGGCGGTGGGGGGGGGGAATCCCATGGAAAAGGCCTGCTTCCAAGTAGCCACTCTCTACAACGCATAATATGGTGCAGGGCTTCCAAAGATGATTTCAGGTAAGGACATCTGGGAAAAGAAGCTCCACTAGTTCCTCTTTGTCTTGGGCCATGGAGGACTATAAATTGAACTCAGGCTGGATACAAATTAGCCAGTCGGTGAAAAAAAAACCAGGCTGAAAAGAGACCGGATATTTCAGCAAAACATACTTTATTGGAAAGAAAGATAAAGGTTTTATAAAGCTTTCACAATTCCTAGACTTGAACTTTACTGAAAATCAATAAGGAGATCTCAAACATGCAATGCGTGCAAGGAAATCTAAAGCTGTTTCTGAGCTAAGAGAGCTACTGCAAGGAAGAGTGGGAAAAAATTCAAAGGGACTCTTAGCTGGATATAGGACACATTTGACAGTTTTCATTTTTGCCAAAAGAGGATTTTCAAATAATTCCACCAGCCATATCCACTGTTTTCTTATTTGAATCTGTAAGCAACTGCAGATAAATAGTACATATGCATTCATGTTTCCAGAAAGGTGTTTCACATAGAGGTTTGTATCACTTTCTATTCCCTCAGGGATTCATTGAAGCGTCACGTTTCTTCAGACTGCCTAAGCCTTTGCATACCACTGTGTGTGGTGTGTGTACCTACACTTAAGACGAGAAGTCTCTCTTGTGCTCTTATTCCCATTTTAAGTATATTTACATACACTACATAATTGATATATATATTCTACCGACTTATTTTTTAACTTGTGAAGAAGCTCTGAGGTAAATTGGTTAGAGAAACATACTGCAGGGCCAGAATGGGTCTGATCCCATATGCTGCTTTTAGGTTATTCACAGAATTCCCTCTTGCATGGCTTTCTGGTTCAGATGTCAATCAGTCTGAAGTGTAGAATAGGATGTGATCTACATTGGGTGATACTGTGTTAGACAGAGAGATTGTTTTGGGTATTTCATTGACTTGGTGTGTTTCTGAAAAACTCTGATGTGATAACTCATTGTCCTTGGCTTGTTGCAAATTATAAAAGTTATTCTCTGGGTTACCCTACTGCAAACTGTTAAGAAATGCCTTGTATTCTCCTCTGTCTCCTAATCTAGTTTCCCCACATAACATACGTGGACACAATGGTGGATTACTATGAAGCGCTGGGGGTGCCCCGCAATGCCTCTCCAGATGACATAAAAAAGGCGTGAGTTGCATTCTTTTTATTTCTACCAGAGGCTATCCACACGAGTGCCAAAATAACACTTTTCACAACCTTGTGCCTAATGACTGTGTTCTACCATAGCCTTGGTAATAGCTTGCAAAGGCACAAGATAGCCAAGCAATAGATTATATCTTGTGTCAGCAGTGAGATTCACATTGAAACCATAGCCACATGGTTAACTTAGATGGCATCCGTTGATATTCCAAACTATATTGCTGCTGTTGTCATATTTTTTTAAAAAAAACCAAATCTGTGCGCTTGCCAAATTTTGTAAAATCTCTGTTTCCAACGTGAGATTTCATCAAACTTTAGCTTTTAAATCTATGTATGTACATTTATTCCCAATGCATACACACACATGTAACCTGACCTTTGTTCTAGATTAGTAGGCAGTAGGAAGCTAACCAGAATGAAAAGGATTGGGAGGAAGTCCCAGAGCCAGTAAAGAGAGGTTCTGCCAATGAACAGAGGGACTGTACTGTATTAGTTGCATTGCTAGTGTGTAAGAAAAGCTTCTCTAATTGAAAGAACAGACGTATCTGTTTCTCCTAGTACAAGTGGAAGGGATCCTAAAGCAGATCTAACAGGTTGGAGGTATCCCGCCAGCTCTGAAACTAAGTTACCAGATGAAAAAATAACCTGGCTAAATTGCCTGTCCTCTGTGCATCCCAGTTCATCCGAACCTTTGAGAAATTGTGAGCAGCTCCTTCTGTCTCCTAGCTGCACAAGTGATTTAAGTGAAGAGATGATCTCCAGGCTGATAGCAGGATTATTTACAAATTATTTACAGTGCCTTTGAATACACACACATACTTTCATACGGAAGTGATAATGTACTGTATAGAGCTAAGTTGCCTACTGCAGAGAATTGTGCGGTATGTCTGGAGACCATTTCTATGCTTATAGGCTGGATCAGCTAGGAAAGGGAGAGGCTGTTTACTTTTCTCTGGATGTTGAATTGAACATGTGAGGGAGTATCTGAATAGAACATATGAGAAGCCTTGATAGAAAACTTAGCCTTTCAGCTGTTTCTGGACTGAGGTTTCTATGATCTCTATCCTTGATCATGTGATCAAGAGTATCTGCTGGAAACGAGTCTTAATAGTATTTAGACTACACATTTTGGGAGAGAGAAGTTCCCTGGGGGTGGGCTCTAGCATGAGTCCATGTCCGAAAGCTCGGAAGACTAAACCTCTAACCCTGGTGACTGACCCAGATTGGATCCCGTAACAGTATGCTGGGACACGTATATTTGCTTCCATAGTATTTAGAGGTTCATAGCTTCCTATCTCTGCCACAGAAAAGCTTTTATGGATCATTTCTGGAAATGTTATATTTAAGCAACGGGAGGGGATGTAGATGGGAGTCCAGGACTGGCAAGAAAGTGTTAACTTTTTGTTATCTTATGATGCCTGGGCTCTTTGGATAACTCCCTCAGAAGAAACAGTCCAAGGATGCTTCTAAATGGAAATTTTCTGGTTCTAGCAGTCAAAAGGCCTGGTGGAGCTATTCATTCCCTGAGTATTTTTGTCAAGAAAAAAGAAGAAAGCAGCCATGATAAAGCTTGGGAGAGTTACAGATAGAAGACCTTTTTAAACTGACCCATTATCAGCCTCAAAAAAAAAAAAAAATCCCAGGTTTGAAGCAGGGCAGTTGCACAATATATGCTTCAAACAAACAAGGAACCCATTCATTCCACCTAAAGGGAATCTGTTCTCTTGAAGGCCCATGGCTGTCAGCAGGAAGAAATCAGAGAGAGCTACAGCTATGATAGGGTGGTTTTTAAGGCATTTTGGAATCTCATGGAATGGGATCCCTCACAGGTATATACTACCCTCTGTGTTGTTATCCACAGGTACAGAAAGAAAGCCCTGCAATGGCACCCAGATAAAAACCCAGATAACAAGGATTATGCTGAGCAGAAGTTTAAGGAGATAGCAGAGGCCTATGAGGTTCTGTCTGACAGTAAGCAAAATGCTTTTGACTTTCTTCCCTCATTCCTCAGCCATTTTGACTGCTTTGGTCTCTGTGCAGGATACTGGCCAAATAGGTGGGACTATTTACTTATTTATTAGATTTTCATACTGCCTTTATACTTTTCAAAGCAGCCAACATACCTAATACTCCTTCCTCCTCCTATTTTCCCTACAATAACCCTGTGAGGTGAGGTGAGCTGATAGTTATCTAATTGGGACTAGAACCCATAGTCCCATAGGCTGCTGCCTTAACTACCAGATCAAACTGGCCCTGATTTCTACAGTATAAGGAAACCTCTTCTTAATATTAATTTTATCAATGACAAGCAAGTCAGAAGTGAATAGAGCGTGTTCCCACATCTAGTTTGGGGACTTAATTATTAAATGAAAGAAGCAAGTGTATTTAGGTTTTGAAGGAGAAAAAATCCCCATGACCTAATTTACGGGTCGAGACGACAAATCTACTTAAGCCAAATTTATCTGAACAGTACTGGTGACAAACCATAAGATTCTGTTTACCAAAGGAGGGTACATACAACTTTAAATAATTGTATGATAAATGTCAGTCAGTAATTATGTCAAATGCCAATCAAAAAATGGCTTAGATTTTTCTGCTTATAGATGGATAAGCAGAATAATAAAATGGAAGTCGGCACTGGTTAGTTTTTGTGGTTACTTTCTAGTTCCTGTTTAAAAACACAAGTGCTAATTAAAAATAATTTATCAGCCAACATCTCATAAGCTTAAGCAGGCCATTATTTTTGTTCAGGGACCTTGGTAATTTGGAGATCTTGGTCCAGGTATTTGTTTTACTCCTTCAGTTTTAAGTGTGCTTATATTCTAGAAGGCTTTTGACTTTGGGGCAAGTTGTCTAAACAAATGTTGACTTTTTAAATTCTTTAAGTTATTTTAAGTTTAAAACTCCATTTGACCAATTTCTCTCAGTTTCATTTCTCAGCTGCACTATGATTCTAACTTGGGCTGGCTTTTTCCAGGATAAAATGATGTAAACATTAAGGCAGCATCAATTCTCTGAGGACTTTGTGAAAAATGGTCATAAGTCACTTTTTTCAGTGCCGTTGTAACTCTGAACGGTGACTAAGCGAACTGTTGTAAATTGAGGACTACCTGCATTTCTTGAATGGATATCTTGGCTTTGGCAGGAGCTCAGACCAATTTAATCTCAATAATAGTTCTTGTGTCGAAATTGATGTGTTCGACCAATGCTCAGGTTAAGAGAAGAGATGCTTGTTCCAGACCCACACATTTCTAAAGGGGTCATTATTAACTTGAGCGGTTTATTCTTTCAGAGAGCAAGCGCGAAGTCTACGACCGATATGGCAAAGAAGGGCTCATGGGTGCAGGTGAGGACCGGGGTTTCACTGAACTAAAATGAATGTAAACTGTGTGCTTCAAGCTGGGTGATTAAAAGAAGCATAATAATGTACTACCAAGAAGGGAGGGGATTGATGGGATGAAAGTTCAACAAAAGTTGAAAGAAAGAAGTCATGAACCTCTAAGTAGTGGGCAAAATGTTTCAAGTCCAGAATGTTTGGAACTCAAAACATTGTGTTTTAAGTTTGAAATGGCTGTTTGGAGTTCACTGAAAGTGTCCAAAAGTTGTTCTGACCATCCTGGGATGGCTGTTTCTTCCAAACATACACAGATAACACGGGAATGACAAACAGTTATTCATGGGCACATATGTGGAGACAGCCAGGGAAAATCTTGAAAGTAGTTGCACTGGTGGGTGCGGATGCTCTAACACTTCAAGGAAATGTGCCTTGTGTATACAGATACACCTTGCAAGAACACACCTTTCAAATGCCTTGCACATTTGTTCTACACAGATTGAGCAAGATGGAGGACAACTTTCTCAATTTGCGTGTGAGTTTGAGGCTTGGGAATAGAACACGAGAGAGGTCTTCTTTGGCTGCTGGGACAAAACCAGGGCACCTTTTGTGCCAGTCTAGCTTGTAAAGTTTGATTAACTAAAATCCCATTGGTCCAAGGGATTGCTATGAATGATACGCTCTTCATTTTTTGAAAATGGGTTTATCCAACATTAGGTTTTTGCCTTGTTCTTGGCTGACCAGCTAGAAGTCACTGTTTTTACAAGCTGTTTGCTTGGGCCTGCAAAAATGGCTGGTTGCAATCCAGTGCTAGCAAACTTAGGAGCCATGATGTAATGTTCTTAATTTTCCAATATTTCAACATCTTTGCTTTCTTACACCGACAGCACATATTCCAGCTTTGTCATATTCTTTCTATGCTTTTTAGGCAGACATATTAATATTGTTTTTTTCCCTTTTTCCTAGCTGGATCTGGTGGTTCCAGGGCTCATCCAGGACCAGAATTCACTTTCACTTTCCGTAGCGCCCATGACGTTTTCCGAGAGTTCTTTGGAGGGCGAGATCCATTTGCTGACTTTTTTGGTAAGTGGCTGTTTGTAATGTTCAAACTAGCCTTTTTCCCCCCCCTTGGAGAAGAATGGGAGAGAAAAAGACTCAGATTTAATTTTCTCTTGATGCGTAGTTGAGAGTACAAGTAACCGGGTTCTGAAAGGAGACAAGGGACTGTATCAATAGCAATGGCATTTAGACTGATATACTGCTTCACAGTGCTTTACAGCCCTCTTAAAGTGGTTTATAGAGTCAGCATATCGCCCCCCAACAATCGGAGTCCTCATTTTACCGACCTCGGAAGGATGGAAGTCCGAGTCAACCTTGAGCCGGTGAGGATTGAACTCCTGGCAGTGAGCTGAATTAGCCTGCAATACTGCATTCTAACCACTGCGCCACCACAGCTCATCAAGAAAAGAAAAAGAAATTGACTGGGATTAGACCAAAAGCATGGAGAATATTTTTCTTGTTTTCCTTTTTGGAAACTCTAATCCTATAGATTACTTTTTCCTATAATATGGAGGAATTTTCTCACTCACCTTAACTCCCGTAAAGCAGGGGGCTGTGCAGTTAATTCCAGGAAACACAAGTTAGAATTGGATACAACTTGAGGAGGCTGCTCTGTGGTGGAATATCCTGGGAGCTACGGATGTTTCCACCTCTTTGTTTCATTCCAGATGACCCATTTGCAGACTTACGTGGACCTGTACCCCGGCATCCTGCAGCGGGGCCTTTCTTTTCCCCTTTCCCTGCATCCGGTAAGAAAAGAACAGTTGGAATATAGATAGTATATCTGGAACCAAGATTTCCGTTACTAAAAGGCAGTTGTTAAATGAATGGCATCCAATTTTGTGACCTTTTTTGTGTGTGCCAGAGTTGTTAAGTGAATCATGCAGTCATTAAGCGTATTCCCCCATTGACTTTGCTTGTCGGAATCCAGCTGGGAAGGTCACAAAGGGTGATCATGGCCCCAGGAACACCACAACTGTTGTAAACCCGTGCCAGTTGCCAAGCATCTGAATTTTAACCGTGTGACCGTAAAGATGCTGCATTAATCAGAAGTGCGAGGAGCAGGCATAAGTCACTTTTTGAGTGCCATTGTAAATTCGAATGGTCACGACATGAATGGTTGTAAGTCAAGGACTGTCTGTTAGCTTCTTCCCCCTTTTCGTCTCATTGGGTTCGGCCAATTGTCACTTACTGGTTTTAAGCCCTTTTTTTGTCTCGGTGACTTCCCCAGCGTTTCTGTTTGCCTACCCTGGAATCTCAAAAGATAGCTTTGTGTATCATGTATCAGTTCCTTTGCTGGAGTACTTCCTTTTCCTTGGTCCCCGGGACCACTGTGCCGTCCCTTGCAAGTTATTCTGGTGCTCTCCCTTGTAGAGTTCTTCGCATCCTCGCTTGGTCCAGGACTCAATGCAGGGATGGGCTTCCGCTCTGTCTCCACTTCGACAAGGTTCATCAATGGCAAGCGCATTACCACCAAGAGGTAAGTTTAACTTTGTTGTTGTTGTTAGTTACGAAGTCATGTCCGGCCCATCGCGACCCCATGGACAACGTTCTTCCAGGCCTTCCTGTCCTCTACCATCTTCTGGAGTCCATTTAAGCTCACGCCTCCTGCTTCAGTGACTCCATCCAGCCACCTCATTCTCTTACCGTTTATTTATTTGTCACATTGGGACCACCCCATTCTGGACAGTAAATCTCTTTGTGTCTTAGTGGGCATTTGATGGGCATTTTAATCTGATTTGTTCCTTGTTTACCTTTCTGTCAACTTCTGGTCTTGTAGGACAGATTTGGGATCCTCTTCAAGGATGTTCAGGCCCATTCTTTCATCATGTTTCTGGAGCCTACCCATTTTTTGCTTCATTTCTACTGTTTTGTTTCTGTTTCCTCTTAAAGCGCCTCATGTAACTCATCTCTTTTCCGTAGTGGAGGCTTATTACTCGTCCAATATAAGCCTGCAGCGAGATACAGACTTCTTCACCCATTCTAGTAAAAAATAATGTAGCTCATTTTGTTTGGAGGCCAAACAATTTAGGTTCAGGATGCTTTGTGCTCTCAGACCACCATACTTCACATTTTAAGTAATGATTAAATAAACTATAATTTAGTGCAGTGTGGAATCAGACCATACTGTACATATTGACTTGGACCAATAGCCATCTAGCCCAACCCTGTTGGATACTGGGATATAGCTGTATTTCAGAGTTGGGTGCCACAATTGCCTTGATCAAGGGCTGTCCTGTAAATATCTTACTTTTTTAATGTCAACATTTTGGAAATTAAACATTATGGAGTGCAGGGAATGGAGAGACAAGAAAATAGATGGGGGGGGGGAACTGAATTGCCCATAGCTCCTTTCTTAGATGCATCAGTTTATATATAATATTTACTTAGAGGTGTGCAGCATTCAAATCCAAAATATCGAGTGCTTGGATGTGGCATGGCCCATTCCTGTATTGTGAGGTTGCTCCATAAAGGAGCCATGCTCAAAACATGGCTGCATGGACTCAGGACGGAAGTACACTTGGGTTGAGACTCTTGTCCTGTTTTAGATTTGAATACTGCATGTCTTTAACACAAGTGTGATGCTCTGTAACTTTTTCACATGGTGCCTGGGAATTCCATTCTGTATAGGGCTGCAATTGCTCTTGAAAAAAATTTACATTTACAGTTCAGGTATGCTTCTGAATGCTGACACGACAGCTTTTGCCCTGCCCAGCTTTTCCTGGGGCATCATTGTGCCCTTTATTTTTCCCCCCTTTTTTAATAACCACTGTAGGGCTCATTAGATCAGGAAGCAGGAGGTGAGCTTACAAATGATTACAAGGCATTCTAAGCTTCTGAGTAAGTTTTTCAGTTAAGGCAATTGACCCTATTAGCCAGCATTAGAAAGCAACAAACCATTTTCCAATGTTTTGGCCTCGGTCACATTTTTAATCAGCAATTAGGAGGCAATTAGGAGTTTTTGAATCTTGTAGGGTTTCAATGGTATGCTGTGCCACTGGTGTTAACAGGTTTAGAGTTGCTTTAATCTGAACAAAGAGAAAGGAGTAATCTCCTTGGATGATTGGTAAATCAAGATCCGTTACTCGGATCTGCTGTTGCATTTTTATTTTTATATTGGATGCCTTGTATGTTTTTTTCTATGTAAGCTGCTGAGGGTCCATTAGATTGCAGTGACACAGATGTGCTTTGTTTAACTTTATTACTAGTTTATTCATTAGAAGTGAAGTTACTTCATGAAGATAGCACATCAACCAGCTTTGAGCCATGTTGAGTTGATTTTATTTATTACATGGACTCAACGTGGTTCAAAGTAAGCAGATATGCTGTTCTCATGAAATAACTTCACTGTTTACTCTCTCTCCTATTTATTAGGGTCATTGAAAATGGACAAGAGAGGGTAGAAGTGGAAGAAGATGGAGAACTGAAATCCATCCAGATTAATGGTGAGTAGCTTTAGAGGAAGAGGACTCTGAAGAACTTCTGTATAGGAGGTCAGAATATTTTTGGCCTCCGGAGTGACAGGGGGTTGATGGATTTATGACTGCCCATTTCACAGCAGTGTTTCTGGGCTGCGTACAAAGTCAAAACAAAACAATTCCAATAATAAACATCTGAGGTTGTAAACAGCTTGCAGTGAAACAAATAGCTGGCTCAGCAAACTTAACTTCTTGGCCCAAATGCCTGGAGGAACAGCCATGATGCCACCAAAGTGAGCAGAATTGTTTTTTGGGAATAATTGCATGGGGCAAAAAGCATGCATTAAACTTTATGTTGATGTGCCTGTTTTGCCCCTTATAGTAGCCCCCCTCTAAAATATGTCCTTTCTATTTGTTTATTTATAATCCTGCCTTTTTTATTTTTACATATAACTCAATATCGTATCCAACTTTCCTTCTTCTATTTTCCCGACAACGACAACCCTGTGAGACGAGTTGGGCTGAGAGAGAGAGAGAGAGAGTGTGTGACTGGCCCAAAGTCAACTCATCTGGTTTCATGGTGAAGGCAGGACTTGAAATCAGGGTCTCTTAACTGTGCGCTAGAGGAAGTCTGGGGATCATAGCCCAGGTGTTGGGGAAACTAACTGGGTAGCCACCCATACAACTGCAGATCATATAATCCAAGCCCGCCTACCTGCAGAAATCTGGGGTCTTTCTGACAAATTGGATGTCAGCATACATCACCTCACATAGCTATATTTGCTGGGAAATTTCAGGCATTGTAATCCAGCAAAGATTTCCTGGGATGTTGACTTTTCTGGTTAATGCTATGTCAAGGTGGATATATGCACATATGCAGTCATATATGGTGGAGTGGGGGAAGGGATACTGGAGGATGACCTCTGCAGCTATTGGCTGAAACATGTCCCTTGCAGGGATCCCAGACGACCTGGCATTAGGCTTGGAACTGAGCCGGCGTGAGCAGCAAGCGCTACAGAATCGCGGGCCGTCCGCATCTTCTCCAGTGACATCCCCTCAACGCCCACCGCCCAAGCGCCCGTCCCCAAGCTCCTCCCCAGTGATCTTGTACACAGACAGCGATGAAGAGGACGAGGATCTTCAGCTTGCTATGGCCTACAGCCTGTCTGAGATGGAGGCCAAGAGCCAGCACAGAGCAGGTGCGAGAAGCCCCACGAAAAAGCAATCCAAAGGAAAGTCACAGTTGCCACAAGGGACAGCCCTTGTCATGGACAGCCAAGCGGGTGGCCCATCCAAGAGCCCCGCAGGGTCTGTGGGAGGGGGTGGAAAGGGGAGGGGCAAAACCAGAGACCCTTCACCTAAGAAGAAGAAAGACACGCAGTGCCACCTCCTGTGAGCTCACCAAGACTGTATTTCATTGGCTGGTACGTTCTGGACCTTAGCCAATGGAGGGTGGGATCTTGAGGACGGCTCTGATTGGTTGCTAACAGGATAGCCTGCAGGCCCATCCAGTCACTAAGCTGGTACCACTGAGTAAAGGGCAGGAGCAGATTCTGTAGCTTGGTATGTGTAATTTGGCACGAAAAGGGGGGAGGGGGCTTGTCTAGGCATCTCCTGGGCTATAGAGCCCTGGTTCGTTGTACAAATTCAGGTTGCACCCTCTATTTTGCTGTTTTATTGCATGGCTTAACTGCATGGTCTGACTGCGTGGCCCTGCTGTTGGCTGTACCGGAGATATTTGTCCTGGGGAATTGTTATTGGCTGCTGCTCCTTGATTATTGTTATAGTTGAGCCCTGGGTAACGTGAGAAGAAAATGAGATATTTAAAACCCAAGGTTTTTTTATATTTGGTGAGAGTGACTCACTTTGGGCCTGTCCTAAATGAGGATGATTCTAGAGCATACTTAGGGGTTGGGGCCTTTTTCTGCCACCTTCTCCTCACCCTTACTACCAACACTGTGCCTTCCTTAGCTAAGAACTGTCTGGTTGTGTTGGCACAAAATACTTAACCAGGTCAGTTAAGGACCTAGTGGTTGCAGTAGCATACGACAGACTTGATTAATTCTAATTGTGGTTTCTTTAGTGTGTTATGTGTGAACCCAGCACATTTCACTAGCTCATTGGGTGAATCCTGAAATGAATTAAATTTGTCATCAAATCATATTGTGCAGACAGAATTGTAATGTACAGTATAAAGGAGATAAAAACTCAATTCGATTAAGACCATCCCAGGATGTTATAAAATCAGAGCATCCTTTCTCTATCGGCAGTTTTCACAGTCTTCCAATAGCCCAGTTTGTGAATGTTTTGTCTTGGACACCTAGAAAGTGTGGGGAGAGGGAGGCAAGGCAAGAAATTTGCCCTGCAGATCTATTCAGGTTGTCGTTATCTCCCACTGTGGGTCTTAGTCCCATTATTCTATCTGTGCAGGGGGCAAGGAATCCTAGATAACTTCACTGCTTGCATGACCCTTGTCCTCAGATTGATGATCTTCAAATCAAATCACTAGTTGAAGAGACTGTACATCTTTTAATTTAGTGGCATGGCATTTTTCTCCTGCAGACTCCACTCAGCTCACTGCTCACTTTATTGCTTGTGGGTAACTTGTACCTGCTACTTCCTTCCCGCCACCCCCACCTCCTGTCATCTTCTGCATAAGGGTCGGAGGGTGAGGGTGAGGGCACGGGATCCGGTGGGTTTGCAGTCCTTTGCCTTTCTCTTTCCTTTTGTCTACCCTTGGTGGCAGGCCCCGGAAAAGGCTTCGGTGGATGCTTGATGTAGGAATGTAACTTGTTGGTGCCCTCTTTCTTTCTTTACTGCCGCCGCTGCTTGTCTGCTCACCTGCCCATCCCTCCCTTCTGTGCTTCCCATGCCACAGACCCTGAAGGACAGGCATATTCTGTCTGACACCCCTCCATGCTGGCTCCCTGCAGGTAATCCTCGAACATTTATTTTACCTGATCAGTTGAAACAGCATTCATCAGAAGGGCTGTGTATATTTGTTAATACCCTTGGCACATACCATAGTCCAAAATGATTCAGACTTTTAAAAAAAGAAAACTCCAGGTTGCAGGAACACTATGAGCTTTCCTTCCATTCTTTTTCTTTTTTTTGTTAATTTACCCCCGTTTATGGTTTTAAAGTTTATTTTTTTAAAAAAAATGCCCGGTAGAGGCAAGAACAAAGAACATTTACAGAGTTATCTGCATTATTCTGGTTGCGGATACACGTGTTTGCTTAGGGGAAATGTAAGAATATACACAACCCTGGTTTTAACTTGCTTGTCTCTGTGCAACTACCCTGTGCTTGTGTTCCCATTTTCTTTGCTTTCACCCTGACAAAAGAGGCAAGGGGTTGGGGGAGGGTGACAAAAAAAGAAAAAAAAAACGTTTATGAGGGATCTATTGGCTGGGTTATCCTTTGCTGCCGTTAGGCCAGTTCACAAAATCCAGACCGATACTGTACAAAGGCAAGATTAGAAGTACAAGTATAACCAAGTGGAGGCAAAATAAATATTTCACTAAATGTTTCTGATAACATTCACAGGATGCACAAAAAAGTAAATCAGGATCCAGCAAGGGATGTGAAAACATTTGCTGTAAATTGGGAAAGGTTTTTGACACCTCCTCCAAAATACCAGGAAGGACTTGTTACTCAATTAGGTAGCCAAGATGGGAAAGAAAGCTTGAGATGAATAGTGAGTTAGGTTTTGTGCCTGTGTACGCATATAGACAAACTGTGAGCCCTCTGCAAAGGTAGTAGTTAAATATGGGTGAGGCGGAGTGAATCTGTTTCACTGGTTATAAGGCTCCTCTTCACAAATGTAACTCCAACCAAAGTTCTTATCTCTATTTTGCTGGGTAAACTGTATCTCTAATGTCCTTCATCTGGAGCAGTGGTTCTCAACCTGTGGGTCGGGACCCCATTTGGGGTCGATCGACCATTTCACGGGGGTCGCCAAGCAAGGCTGACCGCCATTTTTTTGTCCGCCATTTTTTTTGTCTGCCATTTTTCCCCCCCTTTTCCAGCATGTGCCTTACCTCCCTTGGGCTGGGCCAGCTGGTGGTCGGCCTGCTCCGTCTCTGCCGCTTGCCAGCTACGCCTCAGCTGGCGCAGGGGGCGGAACCACGCATGCGCGATGCTTCCAGGCAGGGAAAGTCCTCGACTTACGACCGGTTGGGTAGTCCCCGACTTACGACCGGTTTAGTCCTCGACTTACGACCGGTTTAGTCCTCGACTTACGACCGGTTGGGGTCGCGGCATTAAAAAGGTTGAGAACCACTGATCTGGAGAAAGCCAGTGGCAAGATTTGGAGGCCTTGCTGTCTCCTTTCCACCCACTCCTACTCCCTTTGCAATAGAGTCTTGGTGGAGCAAATATTGTGAACAATAATAGACAAGGATTAGTAAAAAGAGATGGAAATCTCCTTTACCACGAGTAGTTCATTAACAGTAACTCTTCTGGGGGGTACACATTCCTTATTTTGCATGCTCCAGTGCACTCCTCCCTTGCCATACCAAGGTTGGAACAGAGTGGTTCTTGCATGATCTCATGGGGTTGCAACCACTGTCTTGATGCTAAAGTATTCTCCCCCCCCTTCCCTTTCTTTGGAGAATACGTCACAGTTCAGACACTGCTGGCTGCTGCCCACTTTTCACTGTTGTCTAATTCACTCGGTGTCTGTATTTTTCTCTCCCTTCCCCTCCTTCTTTCTCCTTGCTTTTTTCCCCAGGTGTGTTCTGAGTCTGGAAGAGCCATGGGGATTGCCTCTCCAGCATTCGTTCTCGTTGAAGGCTGCTCAGGCCTGGACTTCACTTTCTGTTCTCTCCCTGAACCTGCCGGGGGGGGATTGGAGGGGGGGTGGGGACCGGCAAGTGCCCCGTGTGTGTGATTTTTCTCCCTTCATTCTTTCTGCTGTGTAGCATGTAGCACTCAGTGGCTCAGGCAGGCTACAGCCTGTTTGCTGTAGAAGTAGCTATCTTGCTGCTCCAGAATTAACATAGAGCCAAGGCCTTTTATACTTGCGAGCCCTCTTCACTGGTGCTCTCTTAAGAGAGCCTGGCTGAAGAGTGGGGGGTAGTCTTGAATGGTCTGCCCAGAGAGGTGGTGGTGGGTCAAAAAAAGCCAGAAGCTCCTCAGAGGCCTGGGCTGCAGCATCTTCTTTAGCTGCCCAGAGGCACATTAATCCCAAGACACATTGATCCCATTTGTGTTTTGGAGAGTAATATGGATAGGAACAAACAAAAGTTTTGTTCAAGGACCAGGGCAGACTCCCATGATGTGCAAAAGGCAGCCTTGGCACCTTCCCCAACCCGCAGTCATATACAGAATGATATCTGAACTCCCAGAATTCCTAGCTAGCATGACGGCCCTGCTGCGAGAGAATTGGGGGAGTTGCAGTCCCAGCACGTGGCAAGGCTGCTCTAAAGGCAGGGGTTGGACATCAAGTTTCTCCCTTAGAGCAGCAAGGACTCTTCCAGACCAGTCACTGCAAAGAGAGTAAGTCGGACTCTCTTGGTAGCAAGAAGAGGGCTAGGCCTGTGGCTCACCCCGCCACCCCTCTCTTCCCCCCCCCCCCGGCCCTTCTAGCAAACTTTTCTTGAAATAATGACTACAGATAACACAATCCCGTTCAACATGTCTGTAACTTGGAGTGGATTTGGTCTCTTTTGTAATGCAGCGTGCTGGCCTGGTATAAAATGGACGACATTTATCAATAAACTCATTTGCAATGAACGCTGTCTCAGAAATGTTTGGAAAGAGGTTCGGGAGGAATTATTTTAACCTTTCTGAAAATCGGTAACAAGGCTACCAATGACAGGTAGTTCAAAGAACAAATTCTCCCATTTGGTATCCTGCCTGTTTGCACACAGGGATGAGCATTGTATTTCACCAAATTGCAGTGGTATTTAGGTCATTCTTTTTTTTTACCTCTTTTAATTTATTATCCTCTTAACAGAGGATAAAATCAAGCCTGGGTTGGATATTTGAAAGATTGCTTCCTTGGTGTTTAGGGTTACCGTCTCCTATACACTTACTTTTAGATAAATCTTAAGAGCTACTTACGGCTTCAAGGTTGAAGAATAAAACTAGCCAGAGGAACTGCCTTGTGAAAATATATGGAATGGGTTAAAGAGTTTAGGTGTATAATTTTTTAAAAAAATAATTTCAACTGGTATGATCCAGAGCGCTCGGAAAACAAAGTGGTGTATCCTTGAAAGGCATCCACACATGGCTGGCTGTGGCAAAAAGGCTCATAGAGAACCTGGCAATTCAGGGTCAGAGACAAACTACCTGTTTCAAAAAAGGCAATCCGCCCTCTCCCATTCCTGACCACAGGTTATAATCCTACGGTTGTATACGGGGTAGTGGGGGTGATGGGTTGTTTAAAAAACTTTTTCATTGGAGCTACTTGAAATTGTGTTGCACTGTTCACATGTAGACTCAGATAACATGGCTGTTCAGATCATGGGGCGTCCCTGCCTATGTAAACCGGGTGAAAAAAATCAAGCCAAGGAGGCAGGAATAGATGGCAAGGCTAGCGCTTAGATGGGATAAAGTCTGAGCAGAAAAGGCTTAGGCACAGACAGAACACGCTTGGTGTTCCTTCTGCTTGGTAAAGGGCAGCAGACAGAAGGGCAGGGTGTATTATATTTTTAAGCATTTCAAAATTGGATATGTGCATGTACATGTGTTTGTACATATATACCCCTACCCATTCCCAAGCACATGTATAGCAAGGATTGGGGTACCACGGTACCCTTTAGCACCATGTAGGCAACTCTCTGACTCCTCTATGCGCCAGCCCTTTTGAAGTTAATCCTACCTCCAGGTAAATACCTGGCACCCCAAGTTGTTATCTATAAAGATTTTGGCATGAGCAGACAATACATTTTTTCTGCCTGGTTGTACACACGATGGGGAGGCCGGGCTGCAGCTGCACAAACGCGACACAAAACCTTTATTCACATCAAATACAAAATTAGATTCTCTAGAAATGTCTCTTTGTGATAAGTAACACCCAGGAGAACGTAGGGAGACAACACAGCAATTAGCAGCTGTAGGGCCATCTCCCTGTGACGTTCCCTTCCTCCGTTTTAGGGAAGGGAGCAAATGGCTGTGACTAGGCTTGGCTCCAGGCCTGCAGGAAACAGAGAAGGAGGACAACAGTGGGACAACAATGAGCGCAGAAGCAGTGTTAGGTTCTTCCCCTGCTGTAGGCACAGATTCAGGAGGTGAAATTTAGAGAGGGAAGAATGGAAGAAGGATGAAAACTGGCAACTGACGTAACCTAGCTTCTGCTAAGGCATTACCATTTCTAACTCATTTCATTTGGGCACTAGGGCTCAGCCGGATACTGAAGAGAAAAAAGAAATGGGCCCACAGCCCGCCCATTGCAAATCTAGTTGCTTTGACCGATGCCCATAAACATAAAGTAGGCACTTCAGAAAACTGGTCTTTAATGCATCTCACAAGGGGGCTAACTCTTCTTTGGACTACAGCCCCTGTATTGCTCCATGGCACATCCTCTCACATGAGAGGTGACCTGGCTGTCCAAAAAGGGACCCACTCTTCTATCCACCAAGGGCTGCTTCCAGAGAGACCAGGGTGGAGTAGGCCTTAGCAGCATGAGGGTTATAGGATGTTGGATGGATGAGGCCCAATTGAGCAGGTAGGTAAGGGGCCAGCATTTCCACAGGGCAATTAAATGCAGCCATGGTGAACCACATGGAGATGATACATGGTAAAGGGAAAACACCCCAGGCAAGAACACAGCAACAGCAGAGGCAAAGGGTCGGGTTGGGGAATCACCAAGTTGGGATATGCTGAACGGAGGCTTCATTGTGGCAGAGCCTTCAGGATGGCATTCACTTCCTCTGCCACGGCTGTCAGTGCAAACTCAAACTGGTCCTGGGAATACAAAAGCCAAGTGTATAAAGTAGCATGGTCATAATCAAGAGTACCAAGGATTTGGGTCCCCTTTTTTCTCTTCTCCACCCCGCTTCCCTTTTTAGAACTGAGAAGCACTACCCCCTCTAATAATATAACTATTTTAAAAAGAAATCTCAGTTTCTTTTTAAACTTTAGCTTGAACCCTTTAAACATAAGCACCACCTCTTTTCTCTCTTGGGCAGACATGTCAAACACAAGGCCCAGGGGCCGGATGCGGCCCGAGAAGTGGTTTCATGTGGCCCGCGAAGCCATCCTGGAAACAGTGAAGGAACGGCCCCCGCTGTCTTGGCCCTGGCCCAGGCCGGCCAGGAGCCAATGTACAATTTTGTGGTGGCCATCTATGCTGAAATGCATTCAGTCTTAGCTCCACAAGGCTGTCCAGAAACAGCGAGGAATCAGCCCCTGCCGCGTTGGCCCCGCCCCTGGGTACATGCTGGGGAGGTGTCATCCTTTGTGAGGAATGAAGAAATGCACCATGCCTTGGCGCGTGCCCTGGTCCCACTTCCTTCTGCCAGAGACCCTCAGATCTGTCCCACTCCTGCCCAGGCCCCCACAGGTACCCTTGACGTGAGCGATATAGAGCTGGCCATGCCCACCCAGTAGGCCGCACCCACCAGGCCACGCCAACCCGGCCCCCCAAGGGCAACCGCAATGCTGATGCGGCCCTCAATGAAATTGAGTTTGGCAACCCTGCTCTTGGGTGAGAGCTTCCTACTTCCCCCAGAATAGTATGATGCACTTAAAGACAATATTTGATATTTGTATATAGCCAGGACATTGATTTGTTCTCTTGGACTACATTCCCTTCCATCAAGAGGACTGCATAGAACTCTTGTGAGCAAGGAACCATCAAGACGTACCTTAATCTGCACCACACCTGGTCTCTGGTCCCTCACGTGCTCCAAGGTGGCTGCAATATCTATCTCCTTCACACCTAGTATAGAGGTGAAGAGGTAAAAGGTATAAATCAGAAATCGGTGAATAAGAACTGTTCTATGGGGGATATTTGTATCTGCATAAATCCCACATTCAAAATATGTGAATAGACACAGGTTAAAACAGATGTAGAATAGATGGCAGATAGAAAAGACGTGGCCTTCAAAGCCACAAAGCCTTCAAATGATGATGGTGTACAGTATTATATTTGTATTCTTGTGGAGTATGACAATCTCTAGGGAAAAAGAATCACAGTAACAAAAAATTCAACCAATATATAAGTTCATATATTTACTAAGTATGTAGTAAATAATTTTAATGGTAAATTTAATCTAATTTAATAATTAGTAAATGAACAGCTACATAAATCAATAAATACCTACTTTATGAAGATAGTGAGGAGGGTACATGGGCTATCCAATATATGGAATGGGGCATTACTTTGTTTGCTGGATAGAATTTATGCATGATCTCTAAAAGAACAAGTTCATTTCTGCAAGTTTGTTGAGAGCAAAAAGTTGAAAGAAGCAGAGAGGCTTATGACAAATGCCTTTCTAAGGTCTTTAGAAAGTTAATTTGCTGTTATACAGAATTAACCTCTTGTGGAAAAAAGATATTAGTTGGAGGAAAAGGAAAACAATCAATTGGAAGGAATCAATATCTTGGGAAATGAACTATGAAAGGAATATTGAAGGAGATGTTTCTATTTCAAGAGCATTATATCAAAATATACATTTTTTAAAAAGGGCAGATTGTTCCAGGGAAGAGATCTGATGTGGTCTCCCAAAAATAATTGCTATTAGTGCTCAGGATCCTCTATTTATTTTACGTATTTATTAACATTAGGAATTTTAAGGAAAATGAAAAAAATATTCTTCAGAGAGATGTGTTTAAGAGGGGATTTCAATTATTTTCAAATAGACTGAACAAACTATTCTGACTGTGACAAGTTATTTCTGAATATCCTAAATTAAGGTTGTACAATTTTCTTTGGGTTGAAGGTTTGGACTTGACCTTAAATGGTATATCAGGAGCTGCAAAAAGTGGATGGAGTCAAGAAAAAAGATTAAATTCATGAAATATAAAAAAATTAAGTACAATATTCTCCATGCAGTATGACAATTTTCTAATTCCTTCAAATTAAAAAGGCCAGATTTTGAAGGGGCAAAACTTTCACAGAGACATCCATTGTCTGGCTAACTGGTCATAGAATCAATTAATGGGAATGTAATCTTTTCTTGTCAAAATAATACCTCTATTCAGGCATTAGAACATAATATTATGAATGTTTTAGACTTTCTATTACTGTAATGCTCAGTATTAAAAAGAATTTAAGAGGATTCAGAAAAGTCTTGCCTAGCTACCCTAACCCTAATCCAACCTGAACATCTGTTTGGCAGTAAGCGTTATTAAATAAAGTATTATTGGAGAGTTCTTTCACAGTATGTAGATAGGGAGGGAGGGAAAAAATGAACATTATTTGAATGTTCAAATGTTGACTTTTTATTTTTGGTTTTTGCTAATATTCCTCACTAAAGTTTCCTGAGCAAACTTAGCAATTAAAGAATAAGAGAATGGTCAGTTATGGATGAGCAACTGGCCGTGCGACATAAATATAGATTAGGAATAGTGATCAGTTTTTGTGACTCTAGGATGTCAACAATGGAAGCAGAAAGGATCTATGTTGGAGTTCATGCTAATGTTCATGTTAATCTTAAATAACCAAATTTAAAGGAATGAGCAGTGAGGTCGTAATTTTTTAAATAACATTACTTAGAACAACTGAGAGGGAAAAAAGCTCTGGAGTAATATATTTATGATGTCAGTGAAGGGAGATTTTAAGCTTAGAAAAATGGAAAGTGTGATGAATTATACATACATATATTATGTGAGGAAAATACAGAGGGAAAGCTTTTTGACTCTTATAATAACTAGAATCTGGGATCATCACAGAAGTTAAGTAATGGATGGATAAGTAAATAGAAACATTTCCTTACATATCAGTAGTTAAACTACAGCAGGCTGCAGTAATATCCATTAATTTAAGGCGGCAGGATATGGCTATCAACAGCAGGAATTAGTAATCTTGCTTCTGATTTCTCAAAGGCTTGTTGCTATGGGAACAGACTAGCTAGGCAATTTGTCTGCTGCACCAGCCTGGACCTTCTTATGTTGAATTGACAGACTGTTTGCAGAAAATGGGCCTATATAAGTCTCTTCCTCCCACCATCTTACCTTTTGCCATTCGGTTTAAAACCATGTCAATAAGAATGTATGTTCCAGTCCTTCCTGCACCATCACTGTAAAACATAAGGAAACACACTTGAGGTTTCAAACAACAGCAGGCTACATAATCTTCACCAAGTTCAACACAAGGAAGATCTGGGTCACAGAAATCTACTGAAACTTGCTGTAGCTTATCAGCCTTCAGTTTTGACAGTGCCTAATAATAATAATAATAATAATAATAATAATAATAATAATAATAACAACAACAACAACAGTAGTAGCAGTAGCAGTAGTAGTAGTAGTAGTAAAGTTGGAAGGGACCTTGGAGGTCATCTATTCCAACCCCCTGCTCAGGCAGGAAACTCTATACCATTTCAGACAAATGGCTGTCCAGTCTCTTCTTAAAAACTTCCAGTGTTGGAGCATTCACTGCTTCTGGAGGAAGGTTGTTCCACTGATTAATTGTTCTAACTGTAAGAAAATTTCTCCTTAGTTCTAGGTTGCTTCTCTTTTTGGTCAGTTTCCATCTGTTGCTTCTTGTCCTGCCTTCAGGTGCTTCGGAGAATAGCTTGACTCCCTCTTCTTTGTGGCAGCCCCTGAGATATTGGAACACTGCTATCATGTCCCCTCTTGTCCTTCTCTTCGTTAAACTAGACATACCCAATTTCAGCAACCGTTCCTTGTAAGTTTTAGCCTCCGGTCCCCTAATCATCTTTGTTGCTCTTCTCTGTACTCTTTCTAGAGTCTCAGCATCTTTTTTACATCTTGGTGACCAAAACTGGATGCAGTATTCCAAGTGTGGCCTTACCAAGGCATTGTAAAGTGATATTAATACTTCACGTGATCTTGATTCTATCCTTCTGTTAATGCAGCCCAGCACTGTGTTGGCTTTTTTGGCAGCTGCAGCACACTGCTGGCTCATATTTAAGTGATTGTCCACTAGGACTCCAAGATCCCTCTCACAGTTGCTACTATTGAGCAAGGTATCACCTATACTATATCTGTGTATTTGGGTTGTCTTGCCTAAAGGTAGAACCTTACTTTTTTCACCATTGAATTTCATTTTGCTAGATAGCGCCCAATGTTCAAGTCTGTCCAGATCCTCCTGTATTCTAAGCCTATCTTCTGGAGTGTTGGCTATTCCTGCCAGCTTGGTGTCGTCTGCAAATTTGATGAGTTCCCCATCTATCCCCTCATCCAAATCATTGATGAAGATGTTGAAGAGCACTGGGCCCAGAACAGAGCCCTGGGGCACCCCACTACACACTTCCCTCCATGTAGATGCAGTTCCATTGAGGAGCACATGCTGAGTACGGCTGGTCAGCCAGCTACGAATCCATCTGGTGGTGATGCTGTCTAACCCACATTTAGTTCTTGGAAGGATGTTTGTGAATCTGAATGGTAGGTTAACCTGCTATCCTTTTCCTGACCAGACTTTTGAACTTCTGGAATGCATTTGCTATGAGGGCCAAAATTCTAGCTCTTTGTCCTGCCCAGCCACAACTCTTTTCATAACTTATTTGAATGCATTACCTCCCAACTCCAATGGACTCTTATTCTTGTCACACACCCCTGACAAAAGATCTCACATCCCTTGTCTGCTTGAAAAGTCAACACCAAAGGAAGTAGTTTTTTTCTCATGACATCTGTTCAATTCCCTGACCAGGTCATTACCTGCAGTGCACGACAATTGGGCATGAGCGGCCCCGGTAGCATTTGTTCACCTTCCTGCGGGAATAATGAGAGGATGGGATCAGACAGGGTTTCAGATGAACTCTTAGGGAGAAGCCATGTGGATTAAGCTCCCTTTTTGTCCCTGAACAGCCAAGCAGGAACAAGCAGCAAGGAAGACATCCAGGAAATGAAAAGTATTTCACTTACAGCTGGTGATTGTAATCTAACATATGAAAATTGCATGTGTGGGAAACATTATAAAGTCACCTGGAAAACATTCACGTAGCACCCAGACAGAGCAACTGGAACAATACCTAAAATGGCCAAATTATGTATAGGGTGGAAATACAACAGGAGGCTAAGGAACTAAGGCAAAATATACCATATATCAGCTTATTTCCAACTAAACCAAGTGTGGATTTTCAATTGAGTTTATTACACAGGAGCCCATTTTTGTTTATACATTGAAAATACTTGAAAATGCCAAATTGTCAACTGAATCAAGAGTAAATGATCCATGTGTGAGCCAATCTTATTTTTGTGAACCCTCTGAAATTTGTCAACAAGCTGAATGGATTTGCGACTTCCCATTCATTCTCAGAGGAAAACAAAACATACCTAGGAAAAATATGTGTATGCTCTGCTTGTATGACTGTCTAATGGAGATAAAAGGTTATAATATGATCCCTTCCCTTATGATGATACCATTATGTCACACCTTGTTTGAAGGTTTTGGTCACTAACATCATACTAGAAAGAAAATATTGCTCTTGATTATCAGTATGTAACTTACTCCTGTACTAAATGACAGAATCTACAGTAAAATACCCTGTTACTTGAGCCATTTGTCAATCTATCCATCAATCATCTTTTGTGAATAGTTGCTATTTTGGGGTATGGCACTATGGTGTCCTCTAAAGAGTCCAGAAAATTGATTTCATGCCAAGAAGTCTGAAGAGACAAAAGTCATCCATTATTTCCCTGAAATCTGATGTGTTTAATCCTTTCCATTCAATAGCCTAATGAAACCTGAGAATGCCTTCAATAGAGTGGGGAAGGGTTAACCCATCAGATATGGAATATTTTTGCTTGGTTGACCATTGTATTGCTCCATGTCCCAAAGAGACCCTTCCACATTCTATAATATTGGAAGGCAAAAGAGGCAAAGAAAAAAAATCTGCCAATTGACATTCAAACAGAAGCCTAATGTAGTTAGGCTGCCTACACAAATTTTACTAGGAATTTTGTTATCTGGCTGCTTGCTTTCCCTTATTTTTTCCTGTACTCCCCCCCCACCCCCTTAATAACCTTCTTTTCCTACCCGGACAGTTGGCTTCTTTAGTTGAAAAGGTTTCATTGGTGTCTTATTAAAAGCTTTCTTTAATGGAAGACTGCATGGGTGGATAACTCTGCTTCTCATAATATTCCCCCAATTCAGATCCAAACTAGACCTGTTTCCCTGGAGCTGGGCTGAATGGAGGCCTTTGGAGGAAGAGCTAAGAATTTCCCTACTGAATGGACTACAAATGCATGCCTCAGGAAGGATTTAGTCTGACTGATGACAGCCTAATTGTACTTTTTTTTTTGGCAAAACATGGTATAATTATTTTGGAAGAGGTTTATTCACCATCCCTCCTAACATATGTACCAAAATGAAAGCTAATATGTACAAAAATTGTTCCGACAACTAGTAAAGTTGTTGGCATAAAATTATGTAAATGCTTTCTTTATTATGGACACAATTTAAGTGAACAGTGTTCCATTTCAATATCAGAGTGCCTATGACGGTGCTAATGATTTATTTGTGGACTGCTCCGCAGGCTGTCAGAATATATAAAAGCTCAGTGGGTGTAATCAGGCGCATGTAAAACCTTTTACAGTTGAATCACTTCCAGAATGCTCAAAATTGCTTGTTCCAAGACCAGAATGGCCCATTGTGAAGTCAGAACATTCTCTGACAGAACATTCTGCTCACCCCAGGGTGACTCTGCTGATACCACACACCCTTTATTTCTGTCGTGTTCTTTGCTAGCCGGCTGAAAAAATCTTTACCTACTCAGAAGAATCTTCCACACATGCATATGGGCAACAATAAGGTATATATTAAATGAAACTCAAAAAAAAATGTTTGAAAGTAATATTTAAGTTGTTTGGCTGCTGGTTATTCTAGGACAGTGGGGTTTAGGATAAGAAAGGGAGGCTTAGTTCTACTGTACATTGTTAAAGTGTTGTGATATCTTTTGAGCACTGTGATATAGAAACTACTGAAATTCTGGGGCAGCATGCCACATTTCAAATTCAAAGATGGTCTTTTGAGTGATTTGTAGAACTACCATCCAAATGGGGAGCGAATAGCTGAAAATATATACATGTTTTTGAACTACCCATGCTACTGGTAGGTAGGCTATAAAAGCAATCGACCAACTCCATGTTACTTGCTTTTATAGGGATTGACAGCTGGGTTGGTGGAGACTTCAGGATTCTTTGCCCATACAAACCCATCCAAGACTTTCAGGGCACCTGTTGCTCTATGGCTTTATTCATCCCTAACTATTATCCAGTGGAAATCTGTATAAGGGAGAGTACCAGGACCTCCCCTTTTGGCCCTGTAGGACAAGAGAGCAGGTAATGGACACAACAGCAACCCAGGCCCTTTCCTGTTCCATGCCGCTGGCACAGCAGCCAATGATCACTTTTGTGACTATGCAACTGGGCCAGGATTACTAGCTGCAAATCACAAAAATGACACTGGCAGCTGTGAAGAATAGAGGAAAGAGAGGAAGAGGAGAAGGAGAGGATGTGGTAAAGGGGAGAGAGCATGGTACAATGCGGTCAGAAAGACCTAACATTGTTCCATAGTGTACGTTGCACAAATCAAGACTTAAGAGGAAGAGGTACCAACAGGGATAAACAGCAGTTAAATGAAGATCCTCTGGTTTTAATTTGCCAAGTTATGTGCCCTGGGCTCCTCAAATGCTCAGAAGGAGCTATTGTACCTGCATGCCATGAGGTCCTCACCTACCCATTAATTTCCAAGTCTTGAAAACCACATGCACACAGAACAGCACATTTCTAACTTGTTGCAATGTACAGATGTGACATTATGTTCCAGAGTTGTTCTTTTAACAGCTGCCTGATAGAGCAAGCCTACGTCTCACCCAATCCCAACTTCTCCCTGCATAAGTATTGAGCCAATTGCTGGCAGAGAGGGGAGGGGAGGAACAGGTGAATCCAAGAAGAGGAGCTTATGAGAGTACCTGGAAAGGACAAGATAGGGAATAAAAGAGATTAGAATAGTTTTGAAAACAGGAATCTAATGAGAGACCAATCACACCATCATTTTGTTCTAGGTTAAAAAAAAGAAATAAACCAGTTCTCCGATTCCTGGTCATGTTTTCTGGGCCTCCTTTTTTCTTATATGCTTCTCAAAGGTAGCACAACCAGAGGCTTCTGGAGCAATGGGGACAAATATTGCTACTCTTGTGATCTTGCAGGGATCCTGAACGATATGCAACCTACTACCTCTACCATACCATTCCCTGTCCTCAGAACCCCCTAAATAAAATTCAAATTATGCCACCCCACATGAAGATTTTTTGAGGTTCCTTTTCTTTTATATTAATGTGGTGGTATAGCATCTACATCACATAGACCACCTTGAATTGTGTTATTGAGTCTGTTATGTAGTGCCTTTGTTTAGTATGGTGCTTTGTGACGCCTACTAGTAGAGTAAACACTGTACAACTGAGCAGTCAAAAGTTCTTCAGCTGTGGAAAAGAAACCAGCACCAGTTTTATCCTCTACCTCAGTGGTATCAAACTCGCAACATCACGTGGCGTGTCACGATGTATCGCGACTTTTTTTGCCACTGCCGGCAATGGGGTGGGCGTGGTTTCGCTATGATGCATCCAGCCCGCGGGCCAGCATTTTGACACCCCTGCTCTACCTCTCTCTCCCCAGCATGGGGGCCATACATCTATCCATCCTGCAGGGCTCCAAGCAGGATTTCGCTCAGCTCTACGGCAATTGCCACTTCTAAGCAGAACTGAATTAACTGCGATGCATAGTCCCAGGGGGCCTAAATGTTCTAGCTATTACAGGGGCTTCCAGCAGCACTGGTGCCCAGCTACTCGTAAGACTTTTTTCAGCAAAGATCAGGCTATTATTTCAGCTGCTGATGGTTAAAAGGAAATCACAACCCATGCTTCCAATGAAATCATGATTGAATGAGACCTCAGAGATGGGAGGGAGGTCTTTCAAGGCTCTAGAAAGATTACTAAAAGAGCCTTTGAAGGAGCCCTCTGGGGAGCAGGCAATAGAGGGGGTGTGAAGCAAAATCGGCATCAAGCTATGGTAATATTGTGGGTGGGGAAAGAACAAACCTTCATCTTATATTAACGACAGCCCCAAATCCATAGCACCATACACTCTCCAAAGCTCACTGGAGCATGCCTGCCTCAAAAGAAAGGACTCAGCTTCTCTTCCTGGCGACTTGTTTTCAATGAGTCAATACACAGGGATATTCTGTCTTTGCGACCAGCTCTTCTTTCATTTTACAGCAAGACTGATAATATTGTCTAGGATCTTTGCCTGGCTGTGTGTTTTGCAAAAGGAAATCAGTGATGGGGCCTGGAGTTTCTTCTGAAACTCGGCCAAATCCCCACCTCACCCCTCACAAATCGTGTCCCTTCCAGCTCCCAATAGGAAGGCAATATTTTCTACCTGCGGAAGTCAAGAAGAGGCCTAGTGGTGGTAGGGATGCCCTCTGCTGGCCAGCTCAGGAAGTGAAATTGCGTCAGAGTCCGTGTCTCCTGTGATTGCACATTCTTCAAGTAGAAACTGCGCACCAGGAAATCCTCGCACCAGATGTGCTCTGAGACCAGGTTCACCTGAATGGAGATATTAGGATTTGGAAAGGGAGAGAAGAACAGCCAGCAGTCTCCTTCACATAATAAGTCTTGCCATCTATATACAACCTATTAACTCCCCAACTTGTTTTCCCATTCTTCTCTAAATACTTGATCATCTATTGCAGGGGTGTCAAACTGCCGGCCTACAGGCCGGACGGGTCATGAGGAAACCACGCCCACCCCATTGCTGGCAATGGGGAAGAAGTTCTGATACGTCGCGCGACGTCACGTGACGTTGCGAGTTTGACATGTCTGATCTATTGGGTCAGTTAAAATGCCTTTTTCTGCTTTCATAAGGCTAGAGCAAAATAGATGCAACATGTGCCCATAATTTTGCTGCCCGCAATCAGAATTCGCTATGGCTTATCTATATCATCAGAATTGAGAGGCTACTGCTTTTGAGGATGCTGTCTTTCAATGAGGCGTGGGCCATTCGGTGTGACATTTTTGAATCAATCCTCCTCTCCTACAGAATGGGGAATTCCAGTCACTGGAATTCGATAATCATGTAATGTCAAATAATCTAAACATATTCCTGCTTTCTTCATATCATGAGTAGCACAATTTGATACATATCCCACTTCCGGCTTCCAACACTGAAGGGACTGGAGGCTAAAACATATAAGGAATGGTTGCTGGAATTGGGTATGTCTAGTTTAACAAAGAGAAGGACGAGGGGGGACATGATAGCCGTGTTCCAATATCTCAGGGTTGCCACAAAGAAGATGGAGTCAAGCTATTTTCCAAAGCGCCTGAAGGCAGGACAAGAAGCAATGGATGGAAACTGATCAAGGAGAGAAGCAACCTAGAGCTAAGGAGAAACTTCCTGACAATTAACCAGTGGACAGTTAGAACAATTAACCAGTGGAACAACCTGCCTCCAGAAGTGGTGAATGCTCCAACACTGGAAGTTTTAAAGAAGAAACTGGACAGCCATTTGTCCGAAATGGTATAGGGTTTCCTGCCTGAGCAGGGGGTTGGACTAATGACCTCCAAGGTCCCTTCCAACTTTATTATTATTATTATTATTATTATTATTATTATTATTATTATTATTATTATTATTATTATTATTATTATTATTATTATTATTATTATTATTATTATTATTATTATTATTATTATTATTATTATTATTAAAAAACAAAAACAAAAAGAACCAGCTATATTGCCTAGGAAAGCTTCATAGTTTGTATAGATGGCTGTGGAGCCCAGGGAGAAAGAGAAAGAATATTCCCATGATTTTTTTGTGGACTGCCCGAAAATGATGTATTCACAAGAATGAGGAGATTTCATTAATCCTCCACAGGAGATCAACTTGCACACCCAGCTGTGTTTAGCCCAACTGCAGAATGCTCACACTTCTGGGAGATGCATCGGAAAGGACATCATTGCTACCTCAGATATGACCCCATTCTCAGTGACTTCCCCACAGTGAATGAGGAGGAACCCTTGCCACTCTTTGCTGAGCATTGCAAAGACATAATTGGGCAGCCTTACCTCATAGATGTGGTAAAGTGAGGATCCCTCATCGGGCCAATAGCGGTCACACTGCTTGACGCCATCCTCCACGAGGGGGGTGAGCATGACAATGACTGTGCAACCGTTCTCCCATACCATCTACATAGACAGAATAGGCAGGAGATTGAGCAATTATAATACTGTACATTCCAACTTCTCCACATTGAAAGAAGTGCAAATGCCATCCCCCCCCATGTGAAAAAGAGGCACGTGGGAAGAGAGTATAGTCTGTGGAATGTCTCTGCCTCCAATTAAAACAAAGCAAACACAGAGATTTACATTTCCTTGGGCTTCAAAGTCAGCTTGGAAACGTATTGAGTATGTCTAATAAATGCTAAATGGGAAGAGAGGAACTCAGCAGCTTCTCAGCACATCAAGTGTGACAATCTATCTTTCTGATGCCTTACTTCAGGGCTTTTCAACCAGTGGTACGGGTACCACCTGTGGTACATTGGCACCTGGCAGGTGGTACGCGACCGTCCTAGAAAAGTGGTAGTGGGGGAGGGGAATGAGCTGAACCAGTGGCAGCACCGCACAAGCCTGAGCAAGCAATGGACCTGCAGGGCTGTCAGGGCTCAGCGGAAGTGCCAGGATCAGCGCCAGGTTCCAGCTGGAGGTCGGCACTGATCCTGGCGCTTCTGCTGAGCCCAGAAGAAGCACCGATCAGCTGGAATGTTGCAGCATCTCCAGGGTCTTGTGATTTACATTCAGATGCTTGGCAACTGATTCATATTTATGATGGTCGCAGTGTCCCAGGGTCATGTGAAGTGACAAAAACCTGCTGCAACCACCCAGCAGATGGGGGGAATAAAAACCAAATATTCCCCCACCCCACCCTGCCAATCCTCAACAGAAATGCTCACAACAATGAAAACCTCGGAAAGGAGGAAGAGCGCGGTCGGGTGGGCAGGCAGGTGTCTTGCTCGGCTGTGGCTTGGGGGGCACTTTTTTCAGTGCCATTGTAACTTCAAACAGTCACTAAGCAAACTGTTGTAAGTCGAGGACTACCTGTACTTTATCACTTTTTTCCTTTTTTTTTTTTTGGGTCATCAAGTTTTTGACACCTTGCTAGGCGACTGGTGGTCCTCGGATGTTGCCATATCCTAAAAGTGGTACAATGGGTGAAAAGGTTGAAAAGCCCTGCCTTACTTCTTACTCATTCATAACATAATTCAAATAAAACTGTACATTCATACATCCATGCCTTGAGGAGTTTGCCATTGGAGATGATCTAGCCATAGTATTTCATTTTGTTGATATGGAGCAGAAACCTGCCTTTGTTTCAGAATGGGAAGATGGACTCCACGCTCTTTATCATCTATCTGCCTCTCTTCTAAAGGCTTTGAATATAATGCCAGGAATAATAGAACCTCCTGTGCCAAAGAAATATCAGTCCAAATGTCTATGGAGATTCTGAGTCATCCAGGTCATGGTTGTCCTGAAAGTGCTTTTTTCAAAAGGCAACTGGATTTTGTTTTTCCTTGAAGACGTTTCACTTCTCATCCAAGAAGCTTCTTCAGTTCTGAACTCCAGAACTGAAGAAGCTTCTTGGATGAGAAGCGAAACGTCTTCAAGGAAAAACAAAATCCAGTTGCCTTTTGAAAAAAAGCATCTTTGGGACTATCAGTCCAAATGCTCTATCAGGCAGCACAAGAAAGTTATCCCTTTAGAATAAACATCTCCATGGCCGCCTTACCTGCCAAAAATCAGCAATGGTGTGGGATAATGGACCTTGTGTTGCAATGTATGCTGGCATCCGTGGATCATGGTCAATCTGCAAAGAAACAGAGTATGAAGTAAAATAACTTTCCTCACCCTAGTGCTCTTTGACTGAGTATGGACTACAATTCCTAGTTCTTCTCTGCTAGCTGGGAATTCTAAAAGGGAAGGGACAGAAGAGAATTAGAACTTGATAAAGTAAGCTCAAGAGAATGAGCTGTAGATGAATCTACATCAAAGATCTACTACCACCCTCCAGATGTTTGGTCACACACCCAATAATCTCTTGAGAGCTATGGAAGTTGAGGCACAACACCTTTGGTTGAATACAGTTATTTGACTTTGCTTATCAAGTTCATTCTGGATAAAGATACCGCAATGGATCCGCAGAGCAACCAAACTTGACCGTATGTTATTAGAAGTGCAATGTGTTACTATGAAATGGTATTGCCTATGGTTAAATTATCCACAAGCAGCAAACTAGGTGATCAAGATGAACTTGGATGCATTAGACTGAAGAATAAATAATCATGGCCAGGTTGGAGAAGAGAAGGAGAAAGAGAGGAAAACGTCTGAACCAGAGAAATAAATGCTGTCCTGTAGCACCCACCTATTGCCCTTAACAGAACACTGGTCTCGGAGAGACACTGTTTAAATATGACATCCTTGATGGAAGGTAGGAAGAAAGAGACATAGAATATCTCTCTAAGGTGAGAAAATATGCAGACAGACTGAAAAAGGAGAGACTAGTTTAATGGATCAGTTGTCCAATTGGGAACTGCAAGACTTCACACCAGGAAGTGAGAAAGTCTATCTGCTTCTAAAAAGGCAGGTGAGAGACAATTGTGAGGCACTGCTGACAAATACGTCCGGGGAACAGAAGGTAGAGCTGATGGCTGAAGAACTCTGAAAAGAACAGATGGCATTACACCTTCAAAAAATGATGAGTGTGGCACGTTTAATCCAAAGTGGCAGGGCTGAGGGGGCTTTGGGAGTGTCCTTTCTAGCTGAGCAACGGCTGCTACTAGACTTGGCAGGAAAGGGGGCAGAGGCAGCCTCTTAAAAATGAGCCAGTGAGGCAGCCTTTGGTGGGATACGGAGTGTAATAGCAAGGAGAGGAACATGGCTGTCTGTCACTCACAATGGGGCTGGCATTAATGAAGTCACTCCGCGATGGGTTGCTTTCCATTTTCAACTTGATGCGTGCGTGATCATCTAGGAACAACAGAAAAAACAAGGAGCCGATGGTCTAGTCTAGAGATGCTGGAGTAGCAGGAAGCTGGAATTCTTGTGAAGCTACAGTGCCATCTCCCCAACACTTGAATTGTTGGTCACAGAGATGCATCTCTAGACCAGTATTAGGGAATCCACGGCCCCAGAATTGCATGTGACTAAAAAATTCTCTCCAAAATGAGGTTGAATTTCAGTAATGCAGTAATGTGACTGTGGCTTCCCTCTATTTGTAGATTGGAAGCTTATGAAAAGAGCATTACCCTTTAAATAGGTTGAATGTGTTTAAGGAAAAACAATCCACCTCAAGTCAGAGAAAATAAGAAAATATGGCTCTATCTGCCCTTTGATGTGGCTCTACTCACTTTATGTACTGCCCATTTTGTACTATTGTCCCACATACCATCGTCTTGCTGCACTCCCCTCCCCAGTGCCAAGTTAAGTGTGGGCCTATAGCCATCACCATAGAACCATGCTCTGGCCACACTCCAAACCTTCTGTTTAGGCAGCAAGGAACAGGAATAAAATGGGACAATCACATTCTCTAGTGCCCATAGGCAGTGCTTGTATGGACTCACAGGGCACATAATCTGGGTTGCGGTTCTTCTTGACATTGGCTTCACGCTGGGCAGCATCACAAGTGTTTGGTTCTGCTTGGTATGCACACAGTGCTTGCCACTCTTTAGCCAACCTATCACGATTACGTAGATGGTCCTCCATATATGCCTGTGGTGGCAACAGAACAGTTGTCATATCTTGGACTTAAACATATACCTCTCCATCTCCCTCCCCCCCCCCAAAGAGATTACTGAGATCTATTGAAAGTGTTCTCTGAAGAAGTTTGGGGACTGAATTCCCAGAATCGACAATCTCAATACATCTAAGGACAGTCACATTGCTGTCAAAATCTAGGGCACTGTTTCTTAACCTCAGCATCTTTAAGATATGTGGGCTTCAACTCCCATAATTCCCCAGCCAACCACGTTGAGTTTTCTTACCAGGTTTTAATTTCATTAAAAAAAGGAAAAAAGTAAAGCCTCCTAAAAGTCAGACTTAACTCCTGATGATCTCACGTATACAACCAGGCAATCATCAGGCAGCAATATGGAACTACTTTGCTCTGGCCATTGTCTTCTCAATCTGGAATTTCCTCTTGGTCTCCAATCAAATCTATCCTCAGATCTAATCTTGCTTAGCTTTTGAGATTGGCCCTGGTTGATTAAGTGGGGCCACTTAGGTTGGTGTTTCACTTCAAAAATGACACCACGCATCTATGTCTTCTGTAAAGCTCTATCTGGCAAGCTTGCAAACCTCTGTCAAGCTGTCCCAACAGCACAAATGTGTAGGGTGTGGGTGCTCCTCACCAGAATCATGTGTCCAGTGGAGATATCCATGTTGGACTGCACAGGCTCTTCACACCAAGATGGCGTGCTGCTGTGGGAGCTGGGACTGGCCTGGGGTGCATCGCTGAACTGTGAGGAGACACTGCTGACACGAGAGTTTTCGGCAGGAGCAGGGGGCGGAGGGGTTTCTGCACGGCCAAAGAGTGACTTGGCAGCCATGTGCTGTCGGCAGAGCTCCTGTGGAAAGATGACCCAGCTACAACACCCATGCACACTGGTCACTGAGACCAGACAAAAGAAAGGAAAAGCAGAGAGTTGGACAGAGGCAAAAAGCATTCAAATCATCCAAAGATCCTTAATTCTTCCACTCAAGAGATGCAAAAGCAGTAGGAAAATAAAGGCATAACTGAGGTCACCTCAGTCGAATCCTCCCCAAGGAGCTAGGAGCCAGAATACAAATGTCCTTGCATTTGTATTCTGGCACTGAATGAGAGGCCAGTTTTAGGAATGTGTTTACCCAACACTCTTAATCACACCAGTTAAAGCCTTAATGGTTATCGCTGCACAACATGCTAAGCCAGTTAGGGCTTGTTTGGGGCTCTTGTGCAATCTCAGTCAATTTTGAGGAACTCCAAAAATGGCTTCAGTAACTAAATGGAGAATGCCAGGCATCCCGGCCTATGATTTCTGGTGAACCATGGCGCTACATGTAGAGCGATCTTGACAGACTCAGTGATGTCGAAGTTCCTCCCTGCCATCAATCCCACTGGTACCTGGTATTCATAGGTGCTGTCGGTTGCTCCCTCTGGCCCCAGCCCTGCCAACCGCTCTTTCTCCCGCTGCTTGGCATGCTGGCGCAGACAAAAGACCACAGCAGCAGCAATGACAATGCCGGCCACACAGGCCAGTAACACAAAGGTGAGCAGCACCGAGTGGAAGGTGTTGCCGAAATGGGCAGGATGGGGGTATGTTGTAGCCTCGTTACGCTGTGGAGAGACAGGCATAGAACAGGTGAGCTTAGGATAAAGAACCACCTCCACCCAAGGCAGATGGTGCACAGAGTCTAGCCCAAGATGAGAGATAGTAGCTCTTCAAATGTCACTGGGATCTAGTTCTCAGCAGCCTCTGCTATAGCATGGCCAGTGGCAAAATGGGAGATGCAGTTGTAGTTCCACTACAATCACAGCCATCACTGGTTTAAACTACATGCTTTGCTATTTGTTGCCATTCCATCATCCTGGCATTATGGAGCCTTGTCAAAATCGCTATTGCCCACTGCTGCCTTCTGACTTCTCCTCAGGCTCTGTCCCACCCCTTTACTAAAACTTGGAACCTTTGCTGAATTTTCATTCTATTATTTCCATATTTTGCAGCCCATGGCTTTCGTCTTCTAAGAGCTGATTACATTTTTTAGATCCATCTCTTTCTCCTGCTCCCAAGTCTTCTTTAACTCAAAAGCAAACTTTCCAAACAGGCAACTTGAGGCCTTGGCTTATGAGTCAGAATTCTCAGAACTCTCTCTTGGCCAAACACTGCCCAAGCTTTAAAATGCCATGAGGTCAATCATAAGCAAGTCTTACCTGTCCTATACCCATCTGTAGGATCTTTATTCCAACCTCCGATTCCAGCTCTGACTTCACCAGGGCTAGAGGAAGGATAGAAATGAACAAGCCATACTAGAGGACTGAACTTGGGCACATGGAAAGCAGCAACTGAGTGAAGAATAGAAACTGGGAGAAACTGAGAATGGAAGCTAGGGGAACATGACTTGAGGACTGGTCTGTTTCTGTTTGACATGCTGGGGTTATTGCACGAGTAGAAAGGATAATACTATGATAGAGGGAATTCCCCTGCTCCCTCTTTTATGGACCCCAAAGTCATCTTTCCAAACCAAATTGATTTTTACTAAAAAAAAGAAAAAAACCCAATCACCATAACAAGCAAAATAAAGTAAAACAGCCAAGCAAACCTTCTGCTAAGCTGATTATTCCTTTCTTGAAGGAGAGAACATTCTAAAATAATAATGTTTACAGTAACACTGACAATAAAAGTAATAGAAATAATAATGGGTTGGCTCCAAGTTCCAAAAAAGTATGCTAATACTACTTTAACATAGAAGATATCCTGTACCTCTTAAACAAATTATTTTAGTGTCCTGATAAGGCTAGGACACAGAACTGGTATAAGTGTGACTACTGATTTGCTCTCAACTTACCTGCCCTATTGGCGACATCATTCAGAGACAAATTTTGGTGGTTTTGACGGATGCGGAATGTGAGAGCTGGACCCAACACACTACATAAGGAGAGATTTGAATTTAGGATTCTGCTTTCACTAACCACATCATTCAGTCAACAAATGTGTTTTCTTTGACCATTCCTGTAGGATGTCTCTGTTATAGCTACCCATCATAATTCTTTACAATGCCCTTTATGTAAGGTTATCTTAGTTTTCTCTTCATTCATGGTTCTGCCAATGAACCACGGGACCCCAGAATGACATGGAGCCCATCAAGTGGTTCATATGATTGCTGTTGCCAGGGGGATGGGGGAGGTTATTGGGGGTTTTTTTGTATTATTTTTGTTTTGGGGTTTAGCTGCCTGGAGTCACCAAGAGTGAGTTGGGAGGCCACAAACCTTTTCTTAGATAAATAAATAAAACTCAGAGGTTTTACTAAATGTGAAAGACCTCAAGTTGTGCTTTAAAGCCCAAAGTATGGTAGTTCAAAATCCAGAGCAAGTACATAGTTGCTAAAAAAGGACCCTACTCATATGAACAAGGGTTCATTACTTAAGAAAATAAGGAGTCCTGTTGAGATGTAACAAAGAAAAGACTTTGTGTTAGCCACCCAATAATGAGAACTCAATAGGATAGGAGATATAGGATAGGAGATATAATTCATTCCAAAGCAATATGGAGCCCTACAAGTATGTTGGGATAGCCAACTGGCTACAAATTCTGAAAGTTACAGTCCTAATGTATTGAGGAGCACTAAATTGGGGAAAGTTACCTCAAGAATACAAGGAAGTCCTTGTAAACTGTTCATTAAGAGAACTGCATCACACTCTGGCTAACTATGTCACCGGTACTTCCTCTGATCGTTTCTCATTAGATTCTTCCCTTTCCAGAACCACTGCAAATAACAGCACACTTCAGATTCTCGTGGAACCCTAGACCTCAACTAAGCTACATCACTTACCTGATATTGATGAAGCTGGCAGTAGATAAGTGAACACGTTCAGCCAGGGTCTCAAGGAGGTGAATGCCAACAGCCAGGCTTAATGGCCTGCAGGTGGTAAAAATGCAGTAGGTCAAGACTTAATGGAAAAGCGTGTCGAGAAGAGAGTGGGTTAATAAACAGCAGATAAATAATACCTTTAGGTAATTAATTTTAAGATGTGTGAACTTCAGCTCCCAAAATTCCCCAGCTGGATGCCAGCTGGGAATGCAGGAAGTGAAGTCCACACATCTTAAAGTTGCCGTGGTTGGGAATCCTTGCTGTGGGTGTTCCATCTTGGATATTAATCATCACCTGGCACACACCTTACATATTCATAGATCTTCTGCTGGTAAAAGTACCTCAACCATACTAGCCATTTGTTGGGGTTCATATCTGATTTATCCAAATACCACAATAAACAAAAGAACAATCTGTATCGTTTGTGATAAGTGAATCAAACATAACAGGGTCACTCATTAACCTCTATAACCTTCGATTTTATCACAGGACTTCCCAGTGTGTAAAGAGTAAAGAAGATAATCTTTCAGGAATTGTTACTGAGACAAAAGGGGCAGAAACACTATTTTAAGTCCAGAAAAATGAGACAACATTTGGAAGTGACTCAGACAAAGACCTCCCTAATTTACTGAAGGGGAGGAGGTACAATACAATCAGGTTTGTCAAGGGTCTGTTATCACAGCCCATCTCAGTCAAAGTAGATTTATCCATCATATGGATTTGATTTCGTAGTGTCCTATCTAGTGGGGCTGACATCCTGACTTCCAACACACCCGCCCTCCCCTATTCCACCTTATACCACTCCTCTAATTTGCTTGAATTGTCCCACCTATGTTAATTATATGTATTCAGCACCACAATAATTGCAGTTATCACACTGAACCCTACTTGATTTTAACCATGATTTGTTGGATAAGCTACAAATGATCAGAGTAAGTTTTTTAGTAATTTTAATGAATCAAGACATGCTCATCCTACATTTGCTGTCTCCTCTTTTTCAGTCAGTCTTTTCTGGATATCTTTTTGAATTGGGTAAAGGTTTGAGTGGAACTAAAATGCTAGCCAAGAACAAGCCAGAAAACCCAACAAATCCTGTGCTCCCAAGTTATAGGTTATATTAATCCACAGTTACAATTAATAACCCAATATGTACCCTGACTTTGCTATTGCAGCAGACTGTTTTATAACAAACCATAATTTATTCATTGATTCTCTTTTCCATGTCACACCGAGTGAAAAATAAATCAATCATAGTATGGCTGGACATGATGCATGTGTCCAACCACTGCGCAGATGCAAATGAGAGTAATTATTATAAGTATCACCCTATTATCTGCTGGAACTTGTCAATGTATAGCTCAGGTTGCCCCAACCTTGTTCACTCCAGATAGATTCATTTTTAATTAGCCCCAGACAGCCTGGACAAGCAGCCAGTCTGGCATAGCATAGCATTGCATTGCATTGCATGGCTTTGGGGTGATATAAGATGCACTTGTCTGATCCAAATCCATCTCACACATGCATTAGTCAAGTGCATCCACACCTTGAATAAACCAAGTCATACAGGCAGTCCTCGACGTACGGCCATAATGGAGTTGTAAAGCGGGTCACTCACATGACCAGTCTGATTTTACGACCTTTTTTGCAACGATTGTTCTGAAAAACCACATGTAAATGCTAAGTTTGCAGCAAAAAAGTGCAATAAAATATGGTCACGACTGCTGCAAACAGCTGTGAATGCAGGCCAGATGCCGAGAGCCCAAAATACAGATACGTGATCATGGGAGAGGGGGGAGGGGGAGACAGTCGTTGGAATTTCAGACCTGGGGAATCTTTTGTCATTTTGAATGGTCGCGAAGTGATAGGTCATAAGTTAAGGGCCATCGATACAACTTGCCTCTCTGGATCCGCCCCTTTATTTTGCCCCTCCCTCATTTCCCCAGACACTTCCTTTCTCTCACTTCTGGTCAGTGACAACGTAGCCATATTCCTCTGCCGCCAATGGTGTCTCTGGCTGCTCTCCATCCTTATTGAGTACACCTACTGCCATGCGACTCTTCTTCACCATCACCCCCTGCTCCTCAGGACTTCTGGTATCACCTTCCCCAGGGCTTAAGGGCTTCTGTGAGTCTGGGGGAGATGTTGTCATTGACATGGGGGCCCCAGCTGAGCCAAATCTCTCCCTGTGTGCTTGAATTTGCCCCTCTGTGGGAATGACACTGACAGAGTCTTCTTGAGAGGGGACTGGCTCCGGCTCCTCCCTGTGTTGCATTTCTGCTTCTGTCACCTGAATAAAGATGGAAAGGTCACCCATCAGTGCTCAACACGTCAACCAACAACCCACAGCTACCTTGATAACCCCTGCTTATTACTATAGGCAGCCTCGCAAATTCCCTTCTCAAATTCTGCCTCAGGTTGCTGGTTCCATCCTCAAGGTTGAATGTGTAATGATCTGTTTTTTTTCCTCTTCGCAGGAGCCACCTATGTAAGAATTGGCTGGGGAGGATTGTTCTCTGATGGTACAGGCAAATTGTAGTCTAAACGTGGCCCCAGAAAACCTCCAAAGTCCCTGCCCCAAGTGGACGGGGCCAAACTGTTTGGTCTTATTTCAGGGGGAGAGAATGAATCGGGGGATTTAGGTAAGTGTTTAGATCAAAAATATGAGGTGAGCTCCTTGAACTCTCTCCACCCCCCCCCCTACTAAACTGGACAAGCCACCCCCACTCTGGCTATGTTCAGAAACAACTTCCATCACCCTCCACATTTCCTGTGGCCTTTGGAGACTAACAACTCCTCCCCCAACTCACAAAAACAAAAATGACTCTGCCCCACGTACATGCAAGTAGCCCAGGTGTGTGCTATGGCAGGAGAAAAAAAACCCCAAGTGCAGCTTAGAGGAATCTACTTCTCATATCCAGAGGTTGGCTCAAGTACAGCGTATCTTCCAATGAGTAATAGGAAAGCACATTTCAATGTTTTGGGACGAGACATTGTAGAAACCCAAAGATTTCCATATATATCAAGAAACTGGCAAACTTACCCGCTTGGACTCCAGAGCCTCTTGTTCAAGCCTACCAGCTAAGGAAAGAATTAGAGAAGGAAAATGCTTATTTTCTAAGATGAGGGGGGGGGGAAACTTAAAGTTTAATATGGTTGATTTTCAAAGTAGTGAAGTAGAAGTTAACAATCTATAACTTTCTTCATGTTGTCAAAGTAACCCATCAGCCCCAGCCAGCCTGGCCAATGGTCATGGCAGTCGCAGTCCACCATTAGAGAGTTACTAGTTTCCTACCCTTGCACTTAAGGGAAGACATTCTGCGGAGGATCAAGCATGTTCTCTGATTGCCATGTCATAGGCTCCAGAGCTAAAATACCAACAGAGGAAAAACAGATTCTGGGGTGAAGCCAGCACAAATTTAAGCCTGGATTGCATGAGCTAGCACAGGGGCAGCATGGAGTCTCCTCTCTTCAGATTCAGTCCACAGAGTTCCTATTTTACACCCAGACACAAGCCTTCCTCCAATCGCTCTCCTCCAGCTACAACCATCCCTCCTGCTGCCTCTTCTGCTCCAAGTCCTCATCCCTCTACTCACCATGTTTATTGGGACTCTGAAGGAACTGAATCATGTCCTGTGGTTTAATCCCATAGTTGGCAAATATTGCTGTAAGCCTCTGTACGAGTCTGTCTGTGGATAGAAAGGAGGGGATGGTGTTGCTTCTGTAGCCGAGTCATCATCAAGGCTTTCAAGCCAAGATGAATAAGCTAAATGATTCTTTAGAGGGCTGAAAAATAAGAAAAGTCTCACCTGGCTCGGTAGAGTGTGCTTGAGACTCTGCTCTGTTTTCAAGGTTGTGACCACTGTCCTGAAGAGGATAATCTATCTTGGAATCTTGCTTGTTCTCAGCCCTGTTTCTGGATTTACCTGTCTGTTCCTGGGTTAAGTAAAGTGCCCCCAGGTCTTGGAAAAGTTGACTTCCATCCAGCCCCTGCTGTTCCCTATAGAGAGGAGCAGTGCTGGCGCTCATGAAGACCTTGGAAGGAGCAGCTTGGTCTAAGAAAATGGGAGACTTTGGGTTGTGACCACCAGAACTGCCCTGGAAGGTGCCATCTGGATAGCTGAACTGAAGTAGAAGTACACAGAAAGGCGATTTAGAAACAAATGAAACCAGTTGTCTTAAACTGAGTCACAACACTGGAAAATCTAGCTCATTGTTTCACTTGCAAGGGCTCTCCGGCTTTCTGATATGAGGCTTCCCCAGATTTTCTTGGAGGTAGCAAGAGCTATGCTACCAAATTAAAGTTTCCTTCACTGAATCTGAAGTCACCAATACACCATGTTGGCATAACAATGCTGCTCTAGTCTTTCTCTAAAGTCTCCACTCTGGCTTTCTTCTAGAGATGGTGGTATACTGATTTAGCTTTGCAGGATATTGTTAAGCAAAGCCATTTGAGAAACCCTCTGTTTTTGCTCCCCTCCCCGTTTTCAACATTGTTGTGAATGTTGGTAAATGAATTAGACAGAAAGCTAGACTTTAGCCATCTGTCAAAATCTGGTACTGAGGCAGATGATCTATGAGATCACAGAGGCTGCCTGTTAAAACAGGAGAGGCTTCCCTGGGCAGCCCCTACAGCTGCAGGGTGGCCCAGGCTGTCACACTTCTCCTGCCTTCCTTGTCAGCCCGAGTTAGATGCAAATAGGGAAAGGACCTGACACTGGCCCTTTCTCAGACAACAATCTTTCTCAGTTTTCCTTGAGAATCCTAGGAACTGAAGTTGATTTATTGGAGTATCATAGCTTAGTTACAGAGTGTCTTGCATTTATAGCCCCCATAATCAATTCCTTGTCATAAAGAGGGATCCTAGATAATACGAGATAATAATAAGAGCCGTGGTGGCAGAGTGGTTAGAATGCAGTATCACAGGCTAACTCTGCTCACATTGCCACGAGTTTGATTCCCTCAATCCTGACCGGCACAAGGTTGACTCAGCCTTCCATCCTTCTGAAATCAGTAAAATGAGGACCCAGATAGTTGGGGGCGATATGCTGACTCTGTAAACCGCTTAGAGAGGGCTGTAAAGCACTGTGAAGCGGTATATAAGTCCAAGTGCTACATGTATTGCTATAAAGAACCATGAAATGGTCCAATCAGTAACTTGAATCTTTGTTCCTGCGTTCTTTTAATGGCACTATTTTTAAAAGGGAAAAAGTGGGTGGGGAACCTATGACTGTCTAGAAATCAGGGGTAGGCAACCTTGGCTCTTTTATGACTCGTGGACTTCAACTCCCAGAATTCCTGAGCCAGCATGGCTGGCTCAGGAAATCTGGGAGTTGAAGTCCACGAGTCATAAAAGAGCCAAGGTTGCCTACCCCGGGTCTAGATGTTGTTCATTTCCAAATCTTATCAACCCCATCCAGCCTGATAATGTGATTATTGTGATTATGGGAATAATAGTCCAATAACATCTGGAGGGCCACAGATTTCCAAGCAATGGGAAATAAGCAAGTCCTACAGCAACACTGCCTAACTCTGTGCTCTCCAAGTGCACTGAACCCAATTCATTCACAGCCAGTAAGAAAGGCTGAGGCCATTCTCCTCGATGCTCAGTAGCTTTATTGAAATACACACACCTGGTAATGAGGATAAGACGACAGGAACGCGTTCTTGTGACTTAGCTCAGGCTGAGAGGCCAAAAGCAATTCCAGATACCTCTGCAGGAGTGCTGGGGGCAGAGGAGGCTGGTGACCTCCCTGAGGGGAGGAAGGCTGAGATGACAAAGAGGGTCTCCTGGGAACTAGGTGATGAGGTGGCAACCTGTAAAGGGGACATTCCAGGGTAAAATGTCTGTCCATATTATTATGTAGCTTTTGATTAAAAACTTAGAATAAAAATAGGTATATTATATATTGATATAACTAAAAAAAATTTTGTTGTAATTTAATGTTATTTTAGAGTCACAGCAATTTTGTACTAGTGTGTAGTAATAATGAGTAGTTTTGATTAGAATTGGATGATTGTGCATTTATTTCCTAGATTAGCTTTGGGAAGTCCTGGGGGGGGGGAGGGGGAAAGGGGTAGGTTGGTATTATAGATTTATATGTATATATATGTATGATTTTCTAAGGAGGTGCCCGGTGATACCCCAACTGCACTGACGGGATGGTTGAGGGAGAAAGGGAGGGAGGAAAGAGGGAGGAAGGAGGAGTGGTGGTAGGATGGGAGGAGGAAGGTGTAGGCAAGTGAGAGGGTGGTGCAGGAAGGGGACACCGGACACGTCCGTGAATGTATTGATTGGTGTTGATTTTTTTTTTGGTTGATATTGTGATAAAAGATTTATGTTTTTGTTTTTCAATGAAAAATCAATAAAAATTTATTTAAAAAAAAAATGTCTGTCCATCCACCTACCCATCCATCCATTAACTGGCTTATGTGTCACTCCATTTGGGAAGATTCTGAGCAGTTTGTTGTGGTTAGAGAATAAACTGGGGATCAAAAGTTCCCTATTTCTAGTTCAATAAGGGGAAATTTCTGCATGGTAACTAATGGTCATACCCAAAGCCCTACTCTGCCAGTGTATCTTTCATATGATTATAATTATAATTATAATTATAATAGGGCCTGAGGAGTCTTTCTGGCTAGAGGGCACAATTTACTTCTGCTTTTTAAGTAGCCAACAAAACGTCTTTGATGCAAGTGTGGGAATTTGAGCTGTAAAAGCTTGGCACCTCTCCTCACTGTAATACTGATTAGATTGTGATCCAGGCACCCAGCAGTGCATACTGCAAACATCGGCTGTGACAAAAAGATTATTTTCTGGCAGGTGTGGAACTGGATCACAATAGGGAACAGCACGGAAACGTCCCTTTCTTTCAATCAAATCCTCATCTTGGCAATTTATAACAAAAGCGAAAAGCGTGGCTTCTCATGGGAGATCCGCCTGCCTCCGAATCGTGTGCCTTCTGGAAAAGTCTGGAGACAGAGCTTGAGGCCACATACAGGTAGTCTTCAATTTACGACCACAACTCAGCCCAAAATTTCTGTTGCTAAGCAACACAGTAAAGTGAATTTTGCTCCATTTTATGACCTTTCTTGCCACAGTTGTTAAGTGAATCACTGCAATTGTTGGATTAGTAAAACATTTGTTAAGTCGATCTGGCTTCCTGCTGGTCAGAAGGTTGCAAAATGGGATCACATGACCCCAGGACACTGCAACCTTCCTAAATACATACTAGTGGCCCAGTGTCTGAATTCTGATCACATGCCCATAGAGATGCTGCAACGGTCATAACTGTGAAAAGCGGTCATAAATCACTTTTTTCAGTGCCACTGTAAGTTCACATGGTCTCCAAGCGAATGGTTGTAAGTTGAGGACCACTGTATTTTGTTTAGGGTTTATCTGTCTCAGCTTCTATATTCATTGTATTTTCATGCCTTATTGTCTGACAAGAGACTTTGACTGCAGCAGCATATAAATTTGATAAATAAATAAAAAGGAAAAAATGTGCACTAAGGCCTGATAATATATAAGGTGATTCACTTCTTGGATAACTAGAAAGAGCATAAAGAAGGATCTTCCATTTTACAATCCTAGTTCATTCTATACTGTGGTTTGGTATGTTGTTTCTTTGTTCCATTTTTTAAAAAATATTATATTCTCTCCCTCTCACTTCCAGTTGATATTTGATTCACATCTTGGTTGTCTTAATAGTACAATCCAGTATAACCCTGCCTTCATTCAACAGTAAACTCTACTGACTTCAGTGGAACCTTCTCCCAATTAGGTATGCAGTAGCTTATCCTAAACTGGTTGCCTTCAGCTGTAGAGATTTCAACTCCCAGAATTCCCCAGCCAGACCTGATGGCCATTGATGAGAATTCTAGGGTTTGAAGTCCAGGCATCTGAAGGGCAGATTAGTGAAGGAAAGATCTGGAGATGCTTGATTCTTGGCTTGATAATCAATACACTGCAGCAGTTTTTCAAACTATCTTTGCATATTGTTGTGCTTTACACTTTACACATCATTCTGCTCAACAGGCAGGTGGTTGTACTAAAGAAGATAAGGGAGATAGTTTATTGTTGAGTACAACCTACAACTAAACCACAGATATTTGCTAAGAAATAGTAGCAGCTACATCCCAAACTATTCTTCCTACCTATCCTCAGCTGCAGAATTCCATGAAGAAGGAAGATAAAGCCTAGGGATGTGTTCCATCTCCTGGGCAATCACATACTGTGTAAAGTCATCTTGCCATGATAAACCTGATATGGAAAATAGAAAGTTAAAATAAGTTAGTACATGGCTACAAAAACTGAATGTTGACTTGAATGCTGAAACGATACATATCTTCTGATTCAGGAGCAAGCAGTCCAATAACCTTGAGATGTTTTGCATTATACTTCCTATCTCACTGATGGCGAACCTTTTAGAGACCGAGTGCCCAAACTGCAACCCAAAACCCACTATGCATTGTCGAGTGCCGGGTGGGCGTGGCCCATTGGCTGGGTGTGGCCCACTGGGTGGGTGTAACTGCGATGGTAACGGCAGACTGGGTGGGACTAAAAAGTTCAATCAATTTCAACTTTGCAAGAACTTTATTTTCCCCCCGCGAGAAGTTGAAATTGATTGATCGAACCTTTTTTTTTTTTGCGGAGGCCTAAAGCGAAAAGGTTTTATAAAACCCAGCCAAAGGCATAGGACTGGGGCGACGGCGCGCGTGCCCACAGAGAGGGCTCTGAGTGCCGCCTCTGGCACCCGTGCCATAGGTTCGCCACCACTGTCCTATCTCTTGCAGTTCTCCATGCAGGCCAAAAGTTTAAAAGTTCAAAACATCTGGGGGAAACTAAATTGTCTAACCCTACTCTAATCACTGAAGAAAGCTGAACTCTAGATAGGGTAGATTCTAGCAGCTTGGAGTAAACATTTTAATCAATGGCACACATTCATATGCAAGGTTTAAAATAAGAGATAGTTCCAAAAATTGGTAAGAGGCATAGTTTGAATATGTCTCTGTAGAAAACTGCAGTTCATAAAAGTTAATGCTTTTAATAACATTTGTGATTTTGGAAAGGTGCCAGAAGATTCCTCCTGACTTTACTATTAAGGGTGGAAGGAGGCACTCAAAATCATGTATGATGCAGGGATAGCTCACTTCCCTATCCTATCCTTAGCTCTTCTCCTCTAACTGCTGATATTCACCTTGTGCCATAAGATGCCGTAGAATAGCTTGCAAACGCTGGAGCATTGATGCAGTGACTTGAAAGTAGGGCTGGTCTCGCAATGAACTTTCCTGGCACTGGCCGAATAAACCATCTGGAAAGATAACAAACTCACAGGATAGTTGTCTACATGTACCAGGAATGGCAGGGGCGGAGTGGGGAGAAGAAGAAAGGAAGCACCCAATAATACCAGGCATACTAGATATAATTTGCATGGCGGGTTGTATATGGATCTTCTCTGATGATCCACTAAAAACCCAAAGGGTCTGAACAAATTATACACTTCTTCAAGCTTTGAAGACCTGAGGCTTCAGACTTTTCCAGAAGTAAGCCCTCTTGCACTCATAGGGACAAGCATTCAGGTCAATGTGCACAATGTGAATAATTAACAATGGAGGGCTTCAAATTGAATTGTCACTCAAAAGAACGCTGTGATAAGTAGCCTAGCAACGTGGGGATCGCACAGATTCCCCACTCCCAGTACATTGTGAAACAGGAAAAGGAAAATCATTATGTTTTCAACAGTTAAGCAGGCACTCTTGGACTCTTCTTTATTTATCCAGGGGGACTGATATTTCTATACAGTTGTAATATATAGATATGTAATATATGTAAAATAATAATAACTGCCTATATATTCAGACGCTACCTTAACAGCTCTTAGGTCACTGATTAGGATTGAACTGTTACGTTTTTACCAGTCCCAGACTGTGAATCGAATTGAAGATTAAATCTTTAATAATAATAACAACAACAACAACAACAACAACAACAACAACAATAATAATAATAATAATAATAATAATAATAATAATAATAATATGCAATCTCAAGGGCAGATTTAATATCAAAGGCATCCATCAACACTGAAAGAATTTGTCTCAGTAAATGAGGGGGAGACCAGACCCTACTGTTGACTTCCCATCTCCCTGCATAAAACGTGAATTCATAGGCTCAGGAAAGGCAGCTCACATCTTTCCCTAGCAACAGGCAGGAGTTACCTCCCCCCCCCACTATTTTAACACTTTTGATTGTCTTCTAGCCACAAACCCTCTGTGCTATATTAATTTACCTTGCACACAGACTTCCTGCTGAGAGCATAGCCTCCTGTCAAATAAGCAGCCTGCAGGAAAAAAAAACAGAGAGATAGAAAGGAAAAGAAAGATGAGAGATTTTCCTTAAAACATGGATAGTTAATTTAGAAATGAGGTTATCTCAGATGGCTGCCATATATTCAGTAAAGGCTGAATAATTCAATTAAGCAAGTTAAACAAGTACCAATGCTAAGCATTAAAGTTAATAGTAAGAATGTTTTTTGCCTTGTTTTTGGCACCACTAGTAGCTTAGAGAATTCAGTGATGCAGTTTTCTGCAATAATGTGATAGAAAATCTAGAATAATCCTAAAATTCCCCAATGTCTTCAAGAGTCCTCACGCTAGTCTAGTATTTAATTTTTTAGAATACCCACTTGGCAGCTAATCTGCACATCCTTGTGCAGCCATGGTCTCTGAGTATCCACATGTTTTCAAAATGTCAAAGGAGCTATTAGCCCTCCCAAAATAGGAATCCAAGATATAAGTTCTAAATAAGTTGAACATAATTAAAAAATTGAAAAAAAAATGCAAGCAATTCTTAAACCCTGGAAAGTCCTGGCTTGCTCATAAATAGAACATAGCACCATCAACCTTTGACAATCCCTAGGAAGGTTGTGATTCTATGAAAGCTATCAAAAGTTTCTGTAGCCTTACTTGAACTAATGAAGATTACAGAACACATATGAGCCTAAACAATTCTTTTCAATTCCACTGTAAAAAATCCAGAGAAGTTATCCAATGAGAAGAGTGAGTTTCAAGCTGTTCTATCCACTTTACATTGAAGTATCTGAAAAACATTCACTGAGGGATAGACAAAAATATGCTTTCTGCAAAATCTCATCAATCATTCAGAAAAAGAATTGAAATTCACCTTAATGTTAACTGCAAACTAAGTACCAAACACTGCAGAAACTGACAGACAAAGCAAGCAGAAAAAATTGACTTCCACTCTCATTTGATGGAAATAATTTTTAATGGGGGAATAATGAGACATAATAAATAACTAAATGTCAATATATGCGCACTTACATTTAGTTTTTTATATCCATTTGATTTCTTGTCCATACTATACAAAGGCAATGTATCTATCAACCCACATAGGGTTGAGGTACATCTAGTTAGTCATGTATATTATTAGTATAAAAAACTGACTTTTTAAAAAAAGGAACCATTACTAATTCGTATAAACGTCTTTTGAGATTTAAAATAGAAAAAGAACAAATTGAAGAATAAATGATGAAATGGGTTAAGAATTTTGGTTATAATACACAGATGGATCAATAGAAAAGTGTGGTTAAAAAGACTGAATTTCACATTGTGTTAAAATTTAAGAGAAAATGTCTATGAAATGATGTCTCACCGGTATATGATACCAGAGATATTATGTAAGTTTTAGATCCTAAGCTGTGTAAAGAATGTATAATTCTAATCATTGTTGAAAATATGAAAAGCATGAAAGGATATTTTACCATTCATGGCAGACTTGTGAAAGACTGAAAAAATACTGATTGCAAATACATATGATGAGGCTATTCGAGTAGAATTCACATCTTAATAGAGAAGATTCTCAAAGTGAATATAAAGATGAAACCAGAAATTTTTCTTCTGGGTTTAATGGAAAAAGACTTGGAAAAAATTTGGAACTTTGATGTTATATATGTTGACGGCAGCAAGATTACGTTACGCACAAAAATAGAAAGACACTTTGACTCCTACAATGGATGAATGGTTGCAAAACGTGATGAAGTTAGTAGAGATGGCCAAATTGACTCCTTTGATCAAAGAAAAAAAATACAATTATTTTTGTTTCTACTTGGAAACTGCTTCTGGACTTTGTGTTTGAGATGGGGAAAAAATGAAACGTTGATTTGGGTTTTACTGATTAATAGGTTTGTTGTTATAGAAATGGCTAGTTTATATTATTATGTAAAAGTAAAAAGCTGAGGGTTGATGTTACTATCTTATTCTATTGCACCAAAGGGAATTGGAAGTTAACACCTTTTCTTTCTTTTTTCCCCTTGCCCCACACTTTTCCCTTCCCTTTTTCCTCCCCTATTTTCCTACTATTTTATTTTATATTTTTGTATTATATATTATAAACTAATAAATAAATAAGCAAATACATATGATGAGGCAAAGAATTTAAAAAAGTAACATTCTGATGAAACCAGATTTTTTTTTTCTATTTGGACTTATGAGTAGCCAATTATAAAAGACGTATGAAAGATTGGTTTTATACATGGTAACTGCAGAGGAGCTACTGTATATGCAAAGGTGGAAAAATACAATAATATAATAATAACCCGCTATGGAAGATTGAAGATGACAAAATAAGCAGAAATGGCAAAAGATTGATCAGAGATGAAACAATAAACATTTTCTTAAAATACTGGAAATCCTTTAGTGACTTTTTGCTCAAATCATTTTTAAAAACGATTTGAAAAAACTGACATGATGATTTCTGAATTTGGTGATTGAAAAGGGTTGAATATAGGAAGAAGTGAACTATATGATATAATCTTGATTGGGAAGGAGCCACAATCAGTAGGGTCTGTGATAGGGAGGATCAGAAGTTGCTTCTTTAAACATTTCTTCTCATTTTCTTCTCTCATCTACTGCAGTTTTTATTTTTTCTTAGTTTCATTTCTATTTTTTCCAATGTTTACCTTCTATGTTTTTTTTAAAAAAAATCTAATATAATAGAAATAAACAGCAAAAAAATGGCTTGTTATTAATTTAAGAAATGTATCATCAGTCCAAATATTCTTTTTCTTGTTACTGAAAACAGCTCCATACAACCCTTTAAAAAACCCTCCTTATTCAAAGGGAGAACTAAACATGCAGAGAATGGAATGTCAGGATGGAAGCATCTGAAGTAGCATATTAAAAATGAGAAACTTAAAAACTAAGTTCAATTTTTGAGTTTTAAGTAATTTTAAAGGAATGAATTAGCACAGTATCTATCTATAGTTCCTAATAAGGTATTGAATTACAAGATGAGTCAACACACATTTGGCAATCAGAAACCAAAACAACTTTGCTTTCAAGCTAAAGAAGATGGATAAGTGAGAACTATTCAGGTTTTGTCTTCCTGGCAATATCCTGTTATTAAAGCTGGATAACAATATTAATCAATTTTAGTAAACAGATTTCTAAAAATTGCCTCAATCACATGAATAGAGATCAGACAGAATACAACTTGGCTTGGTACTTGACAAATTATACAGTAATCAAAACGGCAAAATGTCATTTTTCCTTCCCTAATAGCATACACATCTCATCCCATCAAAAGGAACTTGATCCTAACCGCCAGTGAACTGCAGTGTCAGAGCAAGTAACCAGAAACAACAGCTTAGTTCTGTGTTTCGGGTTTATTACATGATCCCTAAACACAAGAATCTGATCTATTAACTGTTAAGGCAATTTGGCACTAAGTAAGAGTCAATGGACTTCAAGGAGGGCCGGACTTAAGTCTCTTTATGGGAATTGAGCCACTCCAAATTGATGATGTGTTTGATCCCACCATCAGGCCTGGTCATCTCCTACAGTGTGGACTATAACTCTGTTCATTATAAATACTCCTAATTGGTTTGGATTTTACTTGAAAAGGTTGTGCTGGCTCTCAAATGTGAAATTTAAACCATTTTTTTCCAAACTGGTATCTGTCCAGATGTGTCTGGATTTCAATTTTAGAAGTTTAGAAGGACATACAGTAGGGAAATATAATTGTGGAGAAGAATGTTTATGAATCCAGCAAATTACATATGGAAACTGGATCACTTTTAATCCATTAGACATCTGAGGGAAGAGAAATTAGCCTCTCTGTACTTGGCTTTCAGAGATTTCCAACTCAGGAGTCCAAAGCAATCAGCCAAATACAAATGTAACACTGGCTCTTTGTGAGTTAGCTGTCCCAAAGCAGCACAAAGGGTTCTGATTTGGTGGTGGTGGGGAATATATCCATTTAAATCAGTGTTTCTCAAACTTGGCAACTTGTTGGGGGAACAGCCAGTTTTTTAAGGGCAGCTTGTATGAGGCCAGACTAGGGACCATACTGGAACGATGCTGTTCTAGAAGATGGATGCACCCTAACACAGCCCACTCATATCAGATGACCATATGTGAAGTGTTAGTACTGCTTTATAATGTTTTCATAAGACCACACTTTGAATACGGCATCCAGTTTTGGTCAGCATGATATAAAAAAAAATCTTGAGAATGTAGAAAAAATGTAGATAACAGAAAGAAAGATGATTAGGGGACCAAAGGCTAAAACATATGAAGAATGATTGCAGGAACTGGGTATTGCTACTAATGAAGAGAAGGACAGTGGGTGACATAATAGCAGTCTTCCAATATCTAAGGGGCTGTCACAAAGAAGAGGGGGTCAGCCTATTCTCCAAAGCATCTGAAGTAGGACAAGAAGTAGCAGATGGAAACTTATCAATGAGATATTCAACCTAGACCTAAAGAGAAATTTCCTGACAGTGAGAACAATTAATCAGTGGAATAGCTTGTCTCCAGGAGTTGTGGGATGCTCCATTACTACTATAGAGGCTTTTAAGAAGAGATTGGACAGCCATTTGCCTGAAATGGTATAGGGATAGCCTGCCTCAGCAGAGGGTTGGACTAGAAGACTTCCAAAGTTTCTTTCAACTCTGTTATTCTGTTATACCATTTCCAGTCTACCATAAAAGCAGCTTTCCATTAGGAATATCATATAAACTCAGGAAAAAGATGCATCTATTGCACGAGTGAGCCAGGGAGATTTTTGCTTTTGTCTGCTAAAATATCCTTAAAATGTATTGGATTAAAATTCCCAGAAGCTTCAACCAGTTTAGTCAATAATTACTAAAGCTGAAGCCCAAAAGATTTGGGTGGCACCACAATGACGATAAAAGATGGGGGGAGAGAAACAAACCCTCCTGGAAACTTTACGTCAAGAAGATTGATCTACCTGTTAATTACTTGATTCATGAAGATGACAGAACACTAAGCATGGATCCTGTATATTTATTACTGAGAAGCT